AACGAGCGCCCCGGCACAATGGGGCCAGACCCTCTTCTCTCGGAAAAGCTGAAAGGGGAAACGCACTATGATGCGAACAATTAATTGTTGCACCAGTGACCCACTTTCCGAGGGTTTCCAGCGATTCGCGGATCCTCCGTTCTTCGTGTGCGAGAATTCCTTTCCCTCCCTGTCCCCTCGATCCATGGACACCTCTTCAGGGTATCTCCCCTTTAATTAAGAATTTTTAATCAGGACCGAGGGACCCCGACCCAGAAATGACGTGCAAAGTGGATGCGACAATCTCGGTAGCCGGTATCCATTCATCGGCTAATCCGTCCTTTGCCCCAGCCTCGAACGTATCGTTCTTTATTAGCGATTTCGGACTTTTGGGGACGGAATCGAGCGGCTTTACTTTGAGGAACTGCAGAATCGATCGACCACTCTCCGAGGGGGTGGAATTCGGAAGTTTTCCAGCCGGGACGTCTCCCCCGGCAGATTGTTTTCGCGCTTCCTACGGTTTCGAATGTAAGGAATCCCCCGGAAAAGTTCCCCGAGGACTCTCGTGGGCCGGTAATAAATTGCCATTCGAAATTCCCGATGATCCTCGAAAACATTCCGCCCTCCTCGAAACTTCCCGTTTCAACCTCCCCGGTGGAATTCGCAACGAGCCGCCGTAAATCAACCCTGAACGATTCTTGCCGCGGATCGACGTTAATCTTCTCGACCAAATCGCGAGAACGTCTTCGAGGATCGACTCGAGGGATCGATAAGAGGTTAGGTCGACGATAAGCGGGAACGTTAAAACTTCAGGAGCAACGAGAACGAGCGCCGTTACGAGGCCGCGTCGAATTTTACGGATACGTTATCGCCTACCCAATTATCCCCCGTAAAAGGGTAATCCGAGTAGGGTGCATTACTCTAACCATCCTGGACGGAAAATTCGATGCACTCGGGATGAAACCGAGGAAACGGATATTTCCGTCTCGGATTTTACGAGCTGCTTGCGTCCCGTTATCCCCTCATTTTGTCGGATAAATCGAGAGAGGGCGGTACATCGTAATCCGAACGATCCGCATTTATTGGATGCGCTCCTCGCGGGGCGTAAACGCGCGAAATCCTGAACGACGTTTGCTCGAAAAGTCGAGAAGACAAATCGCGGAAATGGGCTCGTTCGACTCGGGATTTTCGTTATCACCCCGTTAATTATTCCCGATGTATCGAGAGCGTTCCATAAATGACACACGCGGAAATTCCGCGGGGCGAGGACCGTCGAGCCTTGGGCTGGGACCCAGGAAACGGAAGCTCGTCCCGGTCTATCGCGAAGACGCGGAAACGCGAGTATCTCGCGTCGCGTTAACGTCGACGGGGCCGATTCGATCCCATGACCGGCCCGGCCAAGGTTGACTTACATAAAGGCGCCGAACGTCCATTTATAGGGTGATCGATGTCCCGGGTAAAAATGCATCGGCACCGAGCGTGCAAGCTCGGCCCCGATATTTACGATTTATACCCCCACGTCGCGGGCTGACTCCTGCGGGGGCGCGAATCGATCCCCTCGTCGCGAGAATTTCCTCGCGGGAGAGGAGAAATATAAAAAGAAAGGATTTTCATCCCGCGGAATGGCGACCGAAATTAGAACGGGGGGCCTCGATATCGGGAGATCGATCGGCATGGCCCGAGTGGAGACATTCCGGATATAGGCAGACCGCTTAAGGTCCCTCGCGATTCGAGGCGCAAGCGATCGTATCGTATCCTTTGAGCGCTCTTGAAAAATACGTCTTAAGGCTCCGACATTCACGGAGGTTAAATCGGGGTGTAGACGGGTTTTGGAGGTTAGCGAAGTCTCCCGGAGTAAACGCCAGCTTGGCCACCGCCGAGTTCGGGGCACTCGAGGAGGGTGCACGCAGTTCGGAAACAGAGGAAAGCTCGCGGAGTGTCGACGGAAGCGAGGACATTGTCGGGCGAAGCTGTCGGAGAGGCAGCTCCGAAACTGGAGCTTCGGAGCTCCTGTCTCGCCTAACGAGCAAGTTTTCCTGCGAAAGCTCTCCTCGGAGCTACTTCGTGAATCGAACTCCGAGGGCACTTCGCGAAGCGCGCTTAAGCCGGCGGAATGCTCGCGGGAATTAAACTTTTCTTTCCCCCCGAAGAAGCCTCCTAAACCCCCGTCGGATATTTTCTCCATTCCGGTAACGAACCCTCTTCCAGGGAAACGAGAAATAAGGAAATCCAGAAGTTGCGGGGAAAACGTCCAAATCGACAAGGTCGAGGGTTCTCCACGTTTTCAGCCGCTTCGGGGATAGCGTGACTGTCCTCACACTTTTCCCTTTTTCTGATTTAGGATTATTCTTCATTAATTCGGACAGCCTTGGGAGACTTAAGAATCGATGCGGAATTATTACTTACACAGGGTTGGGGAAGGTCGCCCGAGTCGGCGGAGCGGACGGAATTTCGAGTCCACTTTGCTTGGCGAACTTTGCCAAAGGGATTTGCATCTTCGTTCCTGGAGGCACACCCGGACGAACGCGTATCTACTCCGAGGGAAATTAAAACTTCAGAGAACGCCGCATTTACCTCGCAAAGCCAAAGTCGTCCCGAATCGCGTCGGCATCGCGAGGGCTGAAACTCGGTGACGTTTTCCGCGACGTCTCGGAAATTAGCGGGCGGTCCGGCCACAAAGGGAGCGTCGAAATCCGCGGGTTCATTTCCTTTCCCTCTCAATGAATTTTATTCTTCCGTTTCTATCCTCTTCCCCGGCGCATCTTTCTCCACGGGGAATCGGCCGACTCGAGCGAAAGATTCGACGAGGAGTCGCTCTCGCAGCCGATTCGCGGGCCGATCGCCCCAAGTCGAGACAGCCTTTCGATGGCATATCGATTCCCCGAGTCCGCCCTCTAAGTGACAGGTATCTCTCGAGGTGCACACCTGGGAGCGCACCTGGGTTCGGTCGATTTCCCATTACTAAGTGCTCGCTGGTTCCCAACGAGACAGGGCCCCGAATTTCCCTGGACGATTCCCTTCGCTCTTGCCGGCTCAACGGGGACTGGCGAATCCCTGGCACGAGCTTGGAAGTTTAAAGAAAAATTAATGGCAAGGCTTTCGTCCTTCAAGAAACTCGAGACGCATCAGAAATGATTTTTAAATATAGAGATTTCACATTATTCCGTCAAATCAATGAATATATCTATCATTTTTCAAATAACGAAAGAGAGAACGCTTAAATTTAGCGATTAAAAATTGAAATTGAAACGAATAGCAATATTCGGCGACGTCAAGGGTCGAGGGGAAGCATCCGTTTGCCGGGGCCACTTCCGATTATCGATTCCCAGGAAAATGACGGAGGGCAAATGGAATCCTTTGAAGCGAAGGGTGGCTCGCAGGGGTAGGAAAAGACAGTCCGAGACGTCGGGAGATTTCCATCCGGATGACGAATCGGGGGGGTCCATCGGCACGTTCGGGAGAGGAAATTAAAATCTCGAGGGAGGAGCCGCAAGATGGGAGCCGACTTTAATACTCGATGCACGGGATGGCAATTCGTCGAGGGGATGGTCACCGCATTTCCCTCGTTACGGGCCCGTAATAAGTCGACCGTACATCCCGCGACGCGCAGAGACGATCCGGGGAAAGGGGTGAAGTCGCTCGATGCCTCTCGATTTATTCCCCAATTACGGAGGGGAGGGAACCCTCGTCCAGGAGTCACGAAGCGCGATCGATCTCGCGAGCGATGCGCCGGTTCGAGGCTCGCATAAATAATAGGGGAGGGGGGTGAATTTCTAAATTTGGGAAACAGTATGCACCCGTGACGGCCCTATCGATCGGCCCGTTAACTCCGACCCGACGTTCGACGGCCCTCGATCCTCCCGAAAACCGCTAATCAATTTCGAAATCGAGGGAGAAGTCGTCCTCTCGTTCCGCATCTCGAGGTCGGCACCCAGAAACTCGAATCCTCCTCTAACTACCTATAATATAAATTCCTCCGAGAATTTCTCCTCGATCCGAAGACGCTCTGAAAAGGGCTTAAAAATCCGGATGGAATTTTTCAAAATTGAGAGAGAACGGGGAAGGTGGAGAAGCTCCTTTCATTCTTTTCGACTTCCGATTCCTTCCTCTCCTTCCTCCGTTCGGGGAGGATCGCCCGGCATCTCTCCCTTTTCATTAAGGGGATCCCACGTTTCTCGGGGCAAACAAAGAGAGGCCGACTCGCGGGATCATCCTCTCGGCTCGTCGAGGTCTCCTGATATTAATGGTAACGAATGCGACGCCGACTCCCGATGGGAGTCCCTTTTCTCTATAAAGGCAGAAGGAAAGCGAGGAATTTATTTGGAAATCGAGCTGGGTTAAAATAGAGAAGGTCCTTCCCTCGAGAGAAATTTTTCCAAAATCTCCAAACTCCCTGAAATAAGAAATTAAGAAGGTGGAAGGAAATAATTTCGCGAGGATTCGTCGTTAATCGAAGGACTAAACAAGTTTCGGCCGTTTCGGGCGAATCGTCGTATAAACGAGCACCACCGCGTGGGATGCAATTACGTGCGGGCACCAACGGCGCATATTACGCGTAACGACCGCGAGCGATGCGTCGTCCTCTCTTTAGGGTCGATCTCGAGGAGGGGAATTTGGGGCGAGTCGATTTTCCGGAATCTGTAGATCGAACGCGATCTCCTCGGGCCTAGAAGGCGATAATTAGCGGAATTCTCGTCGCGAGGGGCGGCCCCGATTATAAAGTCCGCGTAGTGGTCATTTCGGTGTAATTGCGTCACCGCACTCCGCAATCCGGCGGGTAGAATGGAAATGATCCCGCACCCGGAGAGGGCAGCCCGTGCTCCAATTTACAACGTGCTCTTCCGGCCTGCTGAACCGGCGGTGTCGCCGCGTCCAATTCAATTTTCTGCGGCGCGAAGTTTTAATCACACGAGGCCGATGTCCAGGACAGTTTGCTTACGAGAGAAAAGATCGTCCCGATTTTCCTGCGTGGAGAAGCGAGACACGGGAGATTTGAAGAATCTCTGAAATTTCTGTTGCAGGAGCAAGGTCGCGGCTGCACTGCTCAATAAGCATCTTCAGATAAACGGGATCTCGGCCGGGCTGACGTCTCTCCCCTCGGTGGGGCAACCTTCCCCGGAGCCGATCCCGGATGACCCCCCGATCGCGAGCAGCAGCAAAATGAAAAGGGAACGGAAGGCCGCCAGAACACTCGGGATCATCATGTCGGCCTTCCTGGCCTGTTGGCTGCCGTTCTTCCTCTGGTAATTATCTCCTTTCAATTTGTCAAAAGAAATTCGGTCGGACAGGGTGCACGGGTGGAAGGGGGTGCCAGGATCTCGGCGAATTTTCGAGGTTCTTTCGATGTCCTAACGGAGGAAGCGGGAGTTTCTTAAGGGCAGAACCGGACTCGTAATTTCTCGGTAACGAAGACCGATGGCCATATCGAGGACATTTCGTCGCAACATTAATCATTACGAACCGTACCCAATGGGCAGATCGTTTCGGTCCTTCGGATTTCCGGTGGATCTTCATTCGACGCAATTTCCGGACTAATGGACCGAGGAGATATCGGGTATCCGACCTCCGATAGGAGAGATATTTACGGTGAAATCATTTCTCCTGGTTTAACGGAGTCGTCTTTTTTGTCGTCCTTTTTGTCGTCCTTTTTGTCGTCCTCGAGGAATGAAAACGGTTGGGAAGGGAAGGGGCCGGTGCGAGGTAAATCCGAGAAAGGACGACGACAGGTGCCTCGGTTAATCGCGCCTCCACCAAGGGAGTCGGCCGCGCAATTTCTCGGGCCGAGGGAGAAAACCGGGAACGCTCTCCTCGCTCCTTGGAGCGTGTCTTCGGGTTTATTTGTAGGCCTCGCAACCCCGATTGGGTTGCGAGGCCTACAGGAGGACGCGGGGAAGACAACTCGCGCCGCTGCCTTGCCTTGCGAAAATTCCAAGTTTCCGTCGATACGGATCCCTGGAGTAGTTTATCCCCGCCCGGAGAACTTCTTAAGGACTTGGGAAGCTCCGGGAGCTCCCCGGGGATCGAATTTCCGTCCGGTCCCTGTCGGCCCCGGATTTATACTCGCGGAGATCAAACGCCCCGATTCCGCGTTAATTGCGGGATCGGCCCAAGAAGGGGAGAAATTAGATTCGGCTCGGAGTTGTCGAGCGACGTGGCTAGCCTCGACGCTCCCTCGAGGGCGGGGAGAAACGTTCATTATCGTCATTGCTCTCAGGTACGTCATCACGGCCCTCTGCGACACCTGTCAGAGCGGTAACATCGTGGTGGCGGCGGTCTTCTGGGTGGGATACTTCAACAGTGCCCTGAATCCCCTCATCTACGCTTATTTCAACCGGGAGTTTCGGGCGGCCTTTGGGAAGACTCTGGAGAGCTGCTGCAGGGCCATCGGCCCCGTCCGGGACCTTCGGCAGCGCCACAGGAAGCAGGACCTCGTCCACAGCAACGCGTCCTCCGAGCTCCACGTGAACAATCAGCTGAGGGCCAGCGAAATGACGAACGTACATATCGAAGCGTGCATTTAGGGCAGCGCGAAGAGGAGAAATGGGTACCAGGGTTTTTTCCTCGACGCTCCTAGACGGGGGCCGTCGCGATAACGGCGTCAAGAGGACTGCCCGAGATTCCCGGACGAGTTCTCGGGGCGGATTCCGTTAACGGGGATGCGAAACGTTTCGAAGAATCCTTGCGGGGGGTTCCAGTAATTACGAGCTTCCAGGACCGCGCAGGAGGCGCTCGCGAACTTTCGAGGCATTTCGCGGTTTTTAATTGGACCGCGCGACGAGGCCAATTCGGCGGAAGGATCCACGGGACATTGTCGCGGATTCCTGGCTAACGAGGACCGCGGGCGGGGGTGAAATTTCGCGGCATCGGAATTGGCGCAAACGAGGTCGGAAGTTTGCTCTCGAGGGGTCTCGAATCCAGCTCGGGTGGCTCCCACGGTCGGACATCGAGTCCCCGGCTCGAAAATCAGCGAGCGACCTGATTTCCCTGCCTCTCCGTCGCGCGGTACCCACCTCCATATTTGCGGAGGACATTGTCGCCTCTTATCGGAGGGACGGGATCGCGCGATTAGGCCACTTTTCCTATTTGAAAGAGAAAGGGAGGAGGCTTTCCGCTTCCGGGCAAAGGCGAGCTCCCAGGCTGGAAAATTGAGGAGGTCCGAGTCGATCGCAGCGATCGGTCGTTAATGACCTGCCCTATTGAATTAACGAGCACTCGGGGAAACTTCCCGGAGGGAAACTCCTTCCTCGACTCGATATTCTTTGAATATTAACTCGACGGAGATTGAAAGAGTTGGAGGAGTCCCCTCCCTTGAAAGACCCCGTCGACCCCGTCGACCCCGTCGACCCGGGCGGAACCGATGCGACGAACCCTGCGGAGAGGGGAAACTTGGCCAGGGCGATTTTGCTCGACCTGGAAAAAATTCACCATCTCTCCGACCATCTTCTTTTCTCGGCGTTCCGAAGTCCACGTTAAGGCGAGAAGACTTTTCCGAGCTCGACGCGACCATTTTCACGGTTTCCCTCCCCTGTCGAGAATCGGCCAGAGATGTCCCACCGCGTCCCCTCGGCGAAACCCAATTCCGGTGAAGATCCCGAAGCGACTGCGGCCACTCGAAATTGGCTTACCGGTTTGTGTACCTAGTTTGTCTCTGGCCTTTTTCCGGCTTTCCCGAGCCAGGAGAGCCCACGGCCAATTACTCGGATGATAGGGACCGGTAATAACGCGGGGAAGTATTAAACGCTCCATCGATCGAGCTCTCCGAAGGGCACCGTCGCACCTGAGACCCCGAAGAGAAGCTTCCTCTCTTTCGGGCCCTCTACGAGTGCTCCCGCTTTTACCGCCCGACAGGGGGGGGGGGGGGGGAGGAGGAAATCTCGAAAACGGTCGACCTGAATCCGAAATCGCGGAATATCGATCTCCGCCCAACCGGCCCCTCTCGAATATGCTCAAGTGTGCTCAACTATTCTCAAATATTTATGCGACGCGCACCTCGGGCTTCGTAACCGCTTCTAAAGTCGAATTTTAAAGCCCGAGCGAATTTAAAAATCTCCAAGTCCACCTGGAAGTGGTCCGATGTTTTAATTTTCACTCCAGCTTTTCGTTAGGTCGTCGCATCCAGCGGGTAAACTCGAGGGGAGGGAGGGGTCGCGACTTTGAAATAACGAGGGAACTCGGGCAGTCGCGACCACCGGCTGCGTGCATCCTGGAATGCACTCGGAGGAGCGGCCGAAAAACTGGACCGACTCGCAGGATCCTCGAGACTAGGGTACGGATCGGGTTGCGTTGCGTAGCAATCATTTTCTACATAATTACGGACAGTTAAGGTGTTTCAGCCATGAGTTGGCGATCCCGTCACCGTACATACATAAAAGTGAACGCGGCAAGTGGGACCTCGAGTGGAGCAGTCGAAAAAGTCGCCAGCCTCCGCAGAAACGTCACGAAATCGCGCAAACGACGGGAAGTAGCGGTTCTCGGGAACCCCGAATTTTTCCGGAATCGTCGAGAGGGCGGAACTGAAGGAATTGAGGGAATTTCGCGTCGGAGAACCGGATGTCAAACGCCACAAACGCCCAGCAATAATACCGATACGTCCCGATTGGATCGAATCGGCGCTCTTTCGGGTCCTCTTCGGGGCCCTTTTTAGGGCCCGTTTTAGGGCGCGAAAATCGAAGGCGAATCACCCGCGATTCGGCCCGATCGAGAGCAGAGTCGAGGGGAAATATTTTCTCCCTTCGCTTCCCTCGGTCGGAATTTCATTTGGCGAGAGGCGCTCGCCTTTGGCAAAAATTGGCACAGCTGCTTCCTCCGTTCCTTTTAAACTTCGAAGGGGATGTCGAGACGCGGGTCTCCCTACAATGTACTTCCCTGTAATTTTATCGGTCCCTCCCTTTCCCTCCCGGCACCGGTGGCGCCGGCGGGGTTCCTTCTCCTTTTTCTTCACCGCGCGGAATTACCTTGCGTGGAGTGCGCGTTTTATTGCGAGGTAAAGGCGGGATGGGAGGCTCGTCGCAATTCCTGGGAGTAAACAGTAATCGGAACTCCTTTAAATCCGCGAAACGAGCCCCGAGCATCTCCTCGACATCCTCGGAGGAGGACCTCGGGGACGTTTCGGATCGATCCTTGATTCCGCACAGGATCGCGCGGGGCGGTCCGAAGACCCTCTTCGAGAGCGCGAAGGATTTCCAGATTTTTATTGTTATTTTCTTACTCAACACCCAGCTCTCCTCGTTCGTCCTCAAATCCTTCGAAGACTCGTCGAACCGCCCTTGGCGATCGTCGATCGTATTTGGCGGTACAATCACTAGGTTTAAGCTCGACCGGGGAGCCCCGACCGGAGTTATCGAAATTGATGGGAATTCCGGTCGGTGCTTCGAGGCGATGGATCGTTACCGAGAAACGACAAGGAAGACGATAGCGACTCGCCAGAGCCGAGTACTACTTTAAGCCCGTAGAAACGTGGCCGATCGATTAAGAGCGGCATTAATTCGTGTCCTGCGTAATCGTAAACGTCGTAAGTCGGTGTTTAAGTATCGGGACGCCCGATTGGTGGTATTAGGGTCGTAAGTCGGCCATCGGGGGATGACTCGACGAGCGAGCGATCGCTCGATAGATCGAAAACTCGAGGTGCGATTAATCGCATGCAGCGGGGTGTCATCCGTGTACCGAGTATCATCAAGGTGACAATAGAGCGAAAGTTTATTTTATATTCGAGTAGCCCAGTGCGCGAGGGTGTGTGCGCGCGTTAAGAAAGAGAAATTACATTTTGGGTGTCTCGTAGAGCAATATCGCGGTCGGACCGAGCACCGACCGACTGTCGGGGTCGTTGGTTCTCGACGAGGGTTTGAGTCCGCGAGAATAATTAATAAAGGTATTTTGAGAAAATGCGAGAAAGTGAAAAACCTTCCTGCGACGAAGAAGGCGAAAAAACGGAAAGTTCCGGACGTCCTTCCGATGTCAATCGAGAGGGAAACGAGGAACTTTAAGCCTCCCGTGAGGAAATATCGCGTCCGGATTTAATATCGACTAACAACCGAGGTCCTCACCCCTTGACTAGGGTCTCCATTCAAGAGGATAATTAATAAAGGTATTTCAACGAAAGGGGAGAAAATAGGAAAGCCCTCCTCGTGCCAGACAAGCGTTGCCGCGGTTCCCATTCCGTTGTCACGTAGTTGGGATCCTCGCCGGCGGGGAAATGCGAAAATTGGCCGAGCTGGCGGAAGACTCGGACGATTAATCCGGGACGGCGTTACCGCGTCGGCAAATATTAGATCGATCTAATGCAATTTCCATAAATCAATTTCCAGCCTAACGCGGAGGGAGGTAAGTACGCCGTACGCGCGTACTCGCGCGTACTCGCGCCGATAACGTCTCCTGCCTCCCGGCCTCTCTTGGCGGGGAGAGAGGCGCTTCCACCGAGGCAATCTCTCAGGATCCTTCCATTAGCTTATATCTCTACGTGCCTAATCAAAATTGCATGCCTTCGGTAACGTCGCGCGCGTAAATCCGGGCTCGATATTCCGGCACGGCCTTCGGAAATTGCGCCCCGTTAAAAGGCGAGCGAGGGCACGGTCCTCCACCCCGCTCCCGATATTCCTCCTCCCCCGTCCTCGGGAGAGCGAAATCCCCCGCACAAAAGTTCTCCCCCGGGATGCGATCGACAACTTTTACCCGAAGCATTTTCCCGTATCGCGCCTCGGCACCCCGGAAAAGCGTGATTTTCCGGGCGTGCCCCCCTTCGCACAGGTGGGTCGTTTCGTCGCGAGGTCGAGGCGCTTCGGATCCTTCCTAATTTCTGTCGTTCGCCATCTCCACCGTGCTCGTGCTCGTCCTCGTGGGTTTTTACGTGGAACACCCCCGATTCTCAATTTAACACATTTTTACCAAAATTTGGGCGGTTTTACTTGATTTTACTCGGTTTTACGGGACCAGAAGCCTCGCGGCCGCGCTTTCGCCCTCTATTCGGAACAAGAAGCGCGAAATGTGGGACAGCTCTCGGGGTGTACTGTAAGCTGCAAGTTTATATACTTTTCATCCGCATTGTGAGCCGAGGTACCCAGCCCGGTCGCCCTCGCGCGCGCCATTGTCCCGGGGGCTCCTCTCGTCGGTGAATACCGGGCGAGCCCCTCGATCCCCGGCGCTACTTTTCCATACTTTTCCCTGCGAAGATCCCGCCGAGCTCTTTGAATTCGGACGAGGCCTTCGCGGGGCCCTCGACGAGAGGGGTCCTCGAGGTTCCCGATTTTTCCGATTTCCCAGGCCCACGTTTACTTTCCCCCGAAGAAATCTCCTCGAAAGTTCCCCGCAACACGGAGACAGTCTCCCCGAACCTCTCGAAAGCTGTAACTTTAAATTGGAGGGATGGAGAGGAGAGATTGAATTTTTTCCGAAATTTTCCAAAGTGGGACTTTCGTTCTGCCTCTTCCCCCGGTCTTCATTTCGCTCTTCTCAGGGACGAGGTAAGTGCATCAGGGCGAGCCGTAACGCCGAGAGGGCCGGGGACGGGACCGACAAATTGCCAGGAGCAATTAATAACTCTTCCTCCGGGAAGTAAGCTCGCGGCCCCCTAATGGATTCCGGACTACTTACGAGCCGAGAGGGTACGGTCGGCTTAAGCGCGAATTTGGCCGGCCGACGTTAAGCCGAGCCCTTGCAATCCCCACTAACCAGATTTAACGAGGGTCCGGCTCCAATTCCGGGGGAATAACGCAATCTCCAGCGAGGACAAATCGGAGCAAGGAGTCGCGAATTAAGCCCAGCTCTCCGTGGAGCCAATTTTTCGGGGAAGATCGAGGCAAGCCCTCCATCCTCGACCCCCGACCGGGCGAGGGTTCATACTTTCCGGGGACTCTCGGAGGAACGAACGGGTCTCCTCCCTGCCCCGAGATGACGTGGGAGGATACTTACTACTTGTCAGTTTCCCGTAAATGGGCATTTTCCTCGGCCGAGAGCCCGGCAATGGGGGGCACCCCTGACCTTTCGGAATTGGGTCGCCATCTTGGGGTTCCGTTCCGTGGCGCGGCCGCGAGACGTGGGACAACGTAAACGCGCCATCCCCGGGGAACGATCGGCCCCGCTCTCTACTCAGGGCCTAACTGAATTTGCGCGGCGCTTCGCGGGATATTTCGGATTATCTATAATTCCGAGGGAAAGCGCGAATTTGCATCCCTCCGAGCGAATGACGGCCCTGCCGTGCAATCAGGGCCGCCGCCGCCGCCGCCGCCGCTCTGGTCGGGCGAATTAAGCGAGTTTGAGCACTCGTCGCGCGGCGCGTCCGCAACTGGATTCGCAATCAAAGTCCCGGGAATTGCGTCCCAAGATGCGTACGCACCGGGCCGGACGAATCCCCTCCCTAACCACGGGGAGGGAATGGGCGACACATTCGAAAGTCGACAAATTGCCGAGCCCCTCGTGGGTTATTTCGATCGGACGCCCCCTAACTCGACTCGTTGCCCGTGTAAATTGGACCTCCCTCGATTATCTTAAGGAAGCGCGTCCCCAAGGCACAGGGGCGGTACAGGGGCAGGAATCCGACGTAGTCTCGCAATTGGGTGGTTTCATTAATATTTTTTAAGCAAAACACAACAGAATTCGAGTACAGTTATGTCTTACGCTTTGACCTCGGTAATAACTAACATGTAACTGTACGGTAACATGACTCGTATTAAATGTATGATTATGTATATATGTAATGTATGCACGCCTTTGTACGTGTATGCTTCGTGTTAGCGACGTGAAAGGAATCAACGAATTCGTTCGATGATCGGCCCGATCGGGACCGTCTCTCGAAGTCGAACGACCGCTCTGTCTTTTTCTCCCCGTCCCCTCGGTGGGATCGTTAATTATTGCTTTCCCCTTGTAGCTCGTTCGCGCGATGACGCTCACCGCGAGGTCATCCTTTCCGATCCGTCATCCCCTCTGTCGCCCCTTACCGAAGAGTTTGCTCTGAAATGGTTACAAAAATGGCCGCCACAGAATAAGGCACACGATTGATGCAACGCGCATTTAGTAATAGCGGTGTACCGTGACTACACGTTACGTTAACGTTCTCCTAACGCGGTTCCTTCTTATCCTTTCCTCGTTTCCACTTTTTTTTCCGGCCGATTGGGCTCTCCTCGTCTCCTATCACGACCCTTCCCGAGGAACAGTGACTGGCCGGGAATCGACTCTGCAACGTTTCGACGTCTAATGTCGACTACTGTCTTGCGGGACCTACCCAAAGCATGGACTAATTCATAACGAAAGTGCAGCTCTTGATTACGAGGCGTCCTACGGACTGCACTTCCGATAGCCTCTGACCAACCGATCCGCCCGGATTTATCGACGCCTTCAATTCACCTTTCTCTTCCCTTTTCTACGTTTTCTCGTTTACACGTTTCTTCGCGAACGGCGCAGCTAGCGAACACACCTCTGCAAAGCTCGGAAAAGCTTCGCGCTACTACAACGCGTTACGACCGCCGATTAAATCCTACGCACCTCCTCGAGCTAAAATCCACTCGTCCTCTTCCGCTTGCGGCCCCGCACTTGGCGACGATCCCGAAGAGTGCCACGGGACGCGAGCAATGACGAAGAAAGACGCAGGAAAAATATAGAAATTCGTCATTTAGCACGGCGTCTTTCTTTCCACTTTATTATTTATATTTCCCGGAGCGGGGAATATAAATCACGGAGGCGGAAAAATGATTTGGAGAATTTTCCCAGGTCTTCGGGATACTCGTCAAGGTACTCTTCGGGGTCGCGCCTTACGCGACAAGCCCTCGTCTTTCCCTAAGCAAAATCACGCTCTTTCAAGCAAAGGCCATATCTAATGACTAAGTAAGTTAAGTTGACTGCTCCTCGACGTGTCCCGTGTGTCTCTCGTATCGCTCCCTGAGTCTCTGTTTCTCGCATGCTACCGACCTCGCTATACTTAACGATTAAAATATAAGTATGCCTCTTTCTCTCCTCCGTGTAACAAGACCGCGCGAGATACTCCGCCGCTTGGTTCGCCGCTTATATAGAATAGTAACAAGAACGGTATAACATTAAAAACATTACGTAGACGGAGCACGTCTCAACCGTGGCGCGAACTTTCGGGCCAGAAGTGGGCGACATCGAATCTCTCCTCCGAATTCACCGCTGCCACTTTCCACGCGCTGAAAAATATTTCCTCGAATCGATACAATTTTTCTTGGTTCGACCTCAAAAAATAACGGATAAAGGGACAACCAAATTCTTTGTTCGATAACCTTCGGTTGACGACATCGGATATCGTGCGACAGGACGCCAGAAGTTCTGGCTAAAATATTTTCTAAAATCAACGAAACGATTCGACCGAAACACTTTGGTTGTCCAAAGCAATCCGGCTCGGTCGGGCGAAAATTCGGTCCCCTCGACCGAATGCTTTTGAAAAATTAACCAAACGCAGTCGAAGAAATTTCTTTCGCTCACCTCGTGCCACTTTGCCTGTTAAAATCGTCAGAAATACAATCTCTATTTCTCTGCTATGTCAGCTCGCTACCAGAGCTACGCCGCTCCCTAGTGGAGACCGAAAAGTGCTTCCAGCTGAGAAGTTGCCCTCCGACGCGTCAGGAACTATCTTTATACCTTTATTAGTATTATCAGTTATCGTCTATTATTATCATCCGTTGTAATAGGTGTATGTGTGTATATTACGGTACGGGGACGTCGGGTCGACCGAGTTCGATCGAGAGTCGAGTCCGCCCATTTCTGGCGAGGACGCGTCCCCGAAGACGCGAGATGACGCGCGAAGCTATTTACAATAACGGGCAGCGAAGACTTGCGATTCCTCTTCCTCTTCCTCCCTCGTAGCTCTTGGGGTAGAAGATCTCCAAACTACGCGCCACTCGGCTCCGATTCCTTTCAATCGACAGGACGGGATAACGGACTGCTGCGAGACGGTCTTCTGTCCGCGAAGAGCGTCCTCCTCCCTCGTGGGAACCGCCTTCCGAAATTGACTGCCACTATTGCGTGCCATCGTCCAATCGAATCGCGCACCTGGGATCTGGGTACAATTTGAAAATGGCTTCCGTATCCATCGCGAAGAGGGCCATCGACGCAAGGGCGTCATTTGTGCTCGCTAGGTTTTGTGTCCCTCTTCGGTACTGGCAGTGAACTCTAGGATTCGGCCCGGGCAGCGGCTCGACCTCGGTCGATTTCGCCGCCAAGGAGACGCGGAAATCGCCCATCATTAAACGATCAACTAAATTTCGTGTCGTTCCTCCGGTACTTCCAGATCTTGAACAGACCCAAATCGAGCTACTCGCGCGGGCCCACAAAATCGGCGAACGATTCGAGGAGGAGCGGTCCGAGAGAAATCCACCCCGCCGCCGTTCTCCCGTTACTCCGGTAACCGCGACAATCGTCCGACGCAAGAGCCGCACCAATTACCCCTCGAAAAATAGACATCTCGCCTTGACATTGCCTCGCGTTTTGTAGTCGAAATTAACCAACGGCTTTGGATAAGTACGCGATAACAACGGGTGGAGAACGCTCGTCGCGGTTACTCGGGGAAGGAGAGACGAGTGGAGGCGGCCGGACGAACTCCTTCCGGGCGGTTCGAGCACGAAGGGACGATTACTGGATGTTGCAGCAGACGGCCCTGCAAGGTACGGCTCCCTGCTCGTCCTTGCCGCGGAGCGAGCCCGGCTTCCCGAGAACGGAGTCCGAGATCGGCGAGAACGATCGAGGTCTTCCGGTGTAGCAGCTCTCGTAAGCCTCGAACGCCTCGTCCACCGGCGGCTCCTTTTTCCCTGCGAATCCCAAGGACTCGTCGACGGGAACCTCTTCGGGGACAGGCTCGATGCGCGCGTACCGAAGCTCCGCGCCACCGTGGACGGTGCTCCTCGAGGTGGCGTCCTCCTCGGGGCTGGTCACGCTCTCCCTGGCCAGCCTGTAGTACCGGCCGACCCGTTCCTTGCTGGCCTCGAGCGAGCCCGACTTGGCGCGTGCCTCGTCCTCGTCCTCCTCGGCAGCCTCGCCCACCCTGAAGACGCCCCTGCCCTGCAGCGTGGTCCAGGGCTCGACGGTCTCCACCTCCCAGCACTCCAAGACGTCCGGCTCGTCGATGCTGCCCAAAGAGTCGCCCAAGCTGTCCCGCTCCTCGTCCCTGGGTCGATCCGACGCGAGCCTCCCTCCGGGGCGGCCGAGTACCCAGTCGTCGGAGATCTCGCACCTCCTGAGGGGCAGCAGCTTGCCCCGAAGAGTGACCACCTCCCCTTTCTCGAAAGTCCTCACCGCAGGCACTCGCTCGACGCTCGACGCCTTCCACCCGGTGACCGGGTCCTCCATCGCGAAGCCTCCCTTCTCGAGGTCCACCTCGGACCACCCGCGGTGAGGGCCCCGAAGAGGGTCGGTCTTCCCGGACGGGGAGGAACGGTGAACGAGGTCCCTCGCCGCATCCGGGGCCTCCTCGAGGTCTCCCCGGTCCAACGACTCCTTCCCGTCGACCTCCGTCGACGCCATCCGAGAGCTTGAAGCAACCCTCACACCCGCAGCGCTATCCTTCGCGATGACCTCCGGGGCTGGAGAACGGACTTCCGGCAGGACGCGCGGCTCCTCGCCGACGACGGACGGTCGGGCGTTCCCGGGTTGTCGTTGGGTCGTCCTGGCCAGTCGAGGCTCGCCGTTCCTCGCCTTGGATTCCGCTCTCCTTTCCGACTTCCTCCTGGACCTGGACCTGACCTTCCGCTTCCCGGTTGCACCCTCCGCGCCCCCCTCCGTCACCTTGACCCTCCCCGACTCACCGCGACCTCCGACGACCGACGACGCCTCTCCGTCGTCGGCGGGATTAACAGATAGTGCAGGCATGGGGTTGCCTTGCAAGTTTTTTGGCGACTCGTCGTCCCCGTCGCTGTCGCCCTCGGCGTCCGAGGAGCCCGCCGACGCGGCGAAGGCCTCGCTCGCGTTGACCCTCTTCAGCCACTCGGTGACCGCGTCGGTGATCGGCCTCCCCGACGTCCTGGTCTGGCTCTCGAACCCGGAATCGTCGTTGGACCCCACGGTGCCCTCGCTCGGCATCTTCGACCTCTTCGCGTCGTAACTCCCGGGCGAGTCCAGGTTCCCGACGACCTCCTCGTCCACCGAGTCGCTCCCTCCCGGAGTGAAGGAGACCCCCCGCGCCCTCGCCTCGACGACGTCGATAGACCGCTTCGCGGGGACCGGCGCCTCCTCCTCTTCCTCCGCCTTCGGGGTCTGCGACTTGCTCTCGACCTCGAGGTCCGGCCCGGGAGTCGGCTCCCTTACGATCCTGGGGCCCTTCGTGGCGTATTTCCTCCTCCTGGGAGGAACTCCCGGGGGCCGGGTGACCAGGGACTCGTAACTCTCCGGCAGCCTCTTCGTCTCGGCGTTGATCGGCGTGATCGTGCGGTTGATCTCCGGACTGGTCGGCCTGGACCGTGGCCTCGAGGTGACGCCGACCTCGGCGTTCTCCAGCATCGGGTCGGCCGGACTCTCCTCCGCGGCGGCGCCCCCGGGGCGTGCCTTGGGCGTCTCCGCGCTCCCCGACCCGGACTCGGAGCCGGGACTCTCGTTCCCGTTGCGCACCGGGCTTCCCTCGACCCGCGGGGGTGTCTCGGGCTTGGGAGTGCTTTCGTCCTCCGAGCCGTCGGGGAGGTCCTCCCGGGCCTCGGGGGTCAGTCTTTCGTCGTCGTTATCGGTCGTTGTCGTGCCGGGGGACGCGACCTCGCGCGACCTCCGACCTCCAGGGCCCTCCTCGCCGCCCGCCCTGGAGCTCGCCTCGCGGTCGGCACCATCGTTGCTCGTCTCGTCGCCGTTTTCCGGCGGCGGTTCGCGCCCGGGTTCCACCGCTTCCCCAGGATTCGTCTCCTCGACGCTTCTCGAGGTCGTCGCGTCTTCGTCGTTCCGTTGCGCCGAAGGCGCCTCTCCCCGAAGCTGGAACTCCTGGCACTCCGGGTTCAACGGCCGGTTGCTCCCGTTCCCCGAAGAGGCGTTGTTCGTCCAGGTCAGCCGAGGGTTCGTCGCCGCGCCCTCGCCCTCCGAGCTGTACTCCTCCTCCTCCTCGTCCTCCGTGTTGCCCTGGAAAGGCGGCAAATTACAATCCCGACCCGGGTGAAGCTTCGCTACGCGTTGAAAAAAGCTTTCTCTCGAGCGACGCCGCTTTCGTTCGAGTATAGATATGGTGACATGGACGACCAAATATTTGGCTGACGCGATCGATAACACTTTCTTGCGAATGGCCTTTGGCCAACGACTTCGCTTATCATCGAACGCGCCAAATGCTGAAGTAAGTTGGGACGTTTAACGGAAATATTTGGCTCGTTGTCCGGATTATCTCTTAGAATCAATGGATTTAATGAATTCGGTTGTTCGAAGCGGACGAGTTTGATCAGATGATCCGAAATTCGGTTCGCTCGACCGAAACGTTAAGCGGGAACGAGTATCAGACCGGGGATAACGTACAGAAAAAATCACGACAATTGCTTAAAATTGCTTCCGTTTTCTAAGCAGATTTGAAAAATTGAAATTCTTCTGGTCGACGTTTTCCACCAATCCCATCGCCGTCGATGAAACGCCATCGCTCTCGGTAAAATCCCATGGGGCGATACCAACCGTGACCATAGCTCGCCTCTGCTTTCTTCTCTTTTTCTTCTTCCGCCGATTGGGACACCCGGCGACCACCGTCGTGGCCGAAATCTCGGTGCTCCTCGCCATGGGGCCGCCTTGTATCGTCACACCTTGGAAGAAAGCGAAAACGTTTGCAATTCTCCCCTCTCTCGCATAACTCGACTTCGACCCCGGTCCCTCACCCCCGGACGCGCCCCAGCCTCCGAATTACGCGCGAAACGCCCTGTTCAAAGGAGTCACGAGTCTTCTCTCTCTCTCTCTCCCTCCTCAAAGACCCGCCGATGACGAGCGGGAAGAGCGATAGAGACGAAACCGAACTTGGTCCTTTTGTCGGGCGTCTCTCTCTTTCGGGCTGCGCTATAGCTATTTTTGAGGGCTCTATTTAGAGTCCAGCAATGCGCCGGGTCTGCCAAGCGCACTCTTTCTCACCATCGTGAGGCGGCGAGGCGGCGTATTTTCGATGCTAAATGCCGATACGATCCTCTCCACCTCTGCGATCGGCGCGATGTCAACGGACCCCCGCCTATGCGGCGGCCAAGAGAGAGGGAGAGAGGCCGATAGGAATGGACTTGGGCCGAGGACCATTGCGTAACGATGCGAGCACGCGCAACGACGAGCCGGAGCGCATACGCGAGAGAATACGCGAGAGTTGGACAGGTCGGGCACCAACCGTTAACGTTCACCAACGGGGGTCCGAACATGAAGTGGCCCGGGTAGAGGTACGGCTGCGGCATCGGAGGGTGCACCACGTGCTGGACGTGCACCGGCTGCGTCACGGCCACTTCGGGATAGGGCACGGGAGCGTCCTCGAGATGGTGGTCCCCGTTCCGCTCCTCTTCCGCCGCGCCGGTGCTGCCGTTGACGCTCCCGTTTCCGCTCTCGTTCCCGTTCCCGTTCCCATTCCCGTTCTCGTTCTCGTTCCCGTTCCCGTTCGCGTTCGCGTTCGCGTTCGTCGGTTCCGCAGGTAGGAGGACGGGCTGCGGTTCCACCGCCGGTGCTGGTCCCGCGATCTGACCGGTCTACGAGGAAGAATATTTTCGGGTTGCCTAGTTCCGCGACCTTATGAAACGATACCGGACATTCGAACATTCGAAATACTCGCCCCACCTGGTAGTCCACCAAGCAGTACTGCTGGCTAGCAAACTTGGGCACGAAGTCGGGGTTGACCCACTCGATGGGCCTGAGGGGCACCGGACCGCAGGGCACGGCGGCCAGGACGTTCGGCTCCAGCTGCCCCGGAAGAGGGGGCCCCACCAGCATCACGGGGTACTCGTAGTAGTACCCACTCCCGTGGTCGTAGAAGGTGCCGTAGCCCATTTGCGCCCCGGATTCCACGGTCTGCGGATACTCCCCGCCGGCGCTGTCTCGGTCCAGGAGCTGCTGGTCGTCGGTGGTCTCGCTGCCGTCTGTCGAGCAATTCGAGAGGTCATCCGAGTTCCCCGCGAGTCCCTTCCTTTCCTGCGGACCGGGGGTCCCGAATCGTTTCGAGCTTCGCGACGTGAATACGAAGGCCGCAAGAAAGGATCTTTTAGAGAAAAAAATGGCAAAACGTCCGTAGGCACGTTTGGAAACGAATTGAAATTTCATGGGTGCAGGACTCGTTAAGGATCGATATCTTTTATTGGAGCGATGTCGTTGATCGTCGTTGCTCGTTAACCTGCAGTGGAATGCGAGGCGGACTGGCTCTCGGTGGTGGAAGGGGTCGCACTGGTGCTGGTCGTGCTAGCTCCGGGCTTCTTCCGCGAGAGGTAGCCCTTCTTGAAGAGGACGTCCTGCCTGGGGGTGGTGATCCTCGTGTACTCGTCCTCGTTGAAGATGATCTTCGGCTGGGAGGGAGAGCCCGGGGCGTCGACCTTCCTGGACCTGGAGCCTCCCCCGTAGTCGCTCCCCGTGTCGCTGACCCCGGATCTTCTTGGCTTGTGGCCAGTCTGGGAGTTTCGATCGAAGCCCCTGGACCCCAGGCCGTTCTCCCTCGAGTACCCATTCCGAAGACCGTCCTCGTCGTCGCCCTCGCCCGGCGGAGCTGTTGGCAGAAAACGACGCCGTAAATAACGCAAATCTAGGAAACATCGGACCACAACTGCGACTCGCGACGAAGGTGAAAAAGATAAAAGACCCCGTAAAAGGATAAATTGCCCGCCCCATTTAATATCTCATTCGACCGAGCACTCGCTTCGGATCTCTCCGGGTTCTACTTTACGAGTTCCTGCACGAGGGAGGAAACGTATCATTTTCCGACTCCCAAAACGGTTACCAAGAATATGTAAACGAGATACCGGGAAATCCCTGTACGATTAATGTTCCAATTAATCGAGCAATCGCTCCAGGTCTCTTCGGGTCCCATTCTCGGAGTCGCCGAGCAAGCGTGATTGGCATTCCACGGTAAGGGACGCGTTACTCGGCAAGGGCCGGAGGAGACGTGCCAATAACTCCGAATGTCGTTCAATCGCGTCTTTACCTCGCCCTCTCCTCGGGAGGATCTTCTCTCTCGACGAGTGGAGATCGAACCGCGCAGGGACGCGTTCAAAGGCGCACGAAAACGGCGAAAACGGCGAAAACGGCGAAATCGCCGGCGCGGAGAAACGACGTTCTACCCCACTAGATGACTAATTGCACGCAATTTCCCCTAGCGGTAGTTCCGCGCGGAGGAGGTAACGAGCGGAACGGCGATGCATTCGCATCGGGCGGGACAATGGACGCATACGTGCACGGACATGTGTACATCGAGTATGTATGCATGCATATAACAACGGGCCGAACGTTTAGCCTGCCACATAGTCCGTACCGTCTTGGTACCTCGCTAACAGAAGCGCGTGATTGGACGAGCCGATCACCCGAGTGACTCTCCGCTGGCGGCGCCACTGCATCTTGACGTCTCTTCCTTTCTATCCTCGTGATCTCTCAACGACTCGACCAAAAGTTTCCCCTTCCGGGGCGGGACGTCGTCGAACACGTGGATCCTCCGCTCCTCGCGCCAGGGGTCGGTCTCGGGTTCCGTCCTCTTCCGAGGTCCGTACCTGTCGCGGGGTCTTCGGGTCGGTCTTCGGGTCGGTCTTCGGGTCGCCCCTCGGCAACGCCGCGAAGTCGTTTCGAGTCTAGGCGATCCGGATGACCCGAGTCTCTCGGGGGTGCCTAGAAATATCTCTGACGCCGTCGAGCTCCGTCATCGACCGGGTCTTGCTTTAGGCTCCACTTTCGCGGGTTCCTCGGGTACTCGTCCAGGGCGGCTCGCCGGGGTCGTCGGCCGTTCCCGATCGACCCGGCCGCTCCGAAAGGGACACTTTCCTCGAGCCCCGAATAAAAGGACCTCGGGTATCTTTCGCAGACGATGCTCTGGATCCAACTGGTTGCGAGGGGAGCGGAGTCGGGACGACGCGGACTAGAATAGTGTCAGAAATAGACTAGCACGGCCGGTAAGTGTGGCAACGAGACGTCGAGAGGGTCGATCGACGACTCGTGTGCACGCAGGCCGAGAGATCTTGAAATCGACTGCCGAAGAGTCGACTCGGCACCTTCCAAAGACCGCCGAGCACCCCTTCACGCCCTTCCGGGTCCATTCGCGCCAAGTCCTACGGTCTCCCATCGGCCGATCTAGACACTCCGGATCGTCCGAAAGGCAACTCGTCAACGGACCAAATTTTCTTGCAGGTCGACAGCGTCATGTCGAGGTACAAAAATCGCGCCGAAGCCACCTCGAACCCGAAGTAGGGCCAGGTCTCGCGTGGAGGGCGGGGTCCGTCCCCTTCGATTTCAGGGACCCGTTCCTCTCAATCGACACCTGGGGAGTCGAAGCCCATCGTCGTCCTTCGGGAACTCACTTCGGGGGGCGATGATCTCGGCAGACACTGCACCGACGCACGGGGTCTTTCCGGGGTTTCTCGAGAGAATCCTGGAAACTGTTTTAAATCTGGCGGTCACTTCAGGTTCCACGGGGTCCGAAAATCCCGGAGGGTGGGTTCGAGTAGCCGAAGAACACTGATACGACCCCTGGATGCGCGCAGCTACGAGAAGGAGTCGAAGGGCGGCGCTCCAAGGAGCCGGCGTGCCGCACCCGGCCGGTTGCGGGGTGCAATTGCATCGGCACGATTTTGAAAATCGATGTCGGCCAGACGCGAGTCTGGAACGGGCTCTCCGTCGTTCTCTCTCTCTCTCTCTCTCTTTCTCTTTCGGTAATGCCTTAACCCTTCCATGGCGCCGAGAGTTCTGCGCAAGACCGAAGACCACCCGAGCCGAGTATCGAGCGTCTGCGCGCAGGAGCGGAACATGCCGTTCTACGTGGAAAATAAAGATCTGCATCGGGGACGAGCGCGTTAAGACGTTGCCATGTGCCCGCCCGTGCACCCCGAGCGCACCGGGGCGCGGCACTTGGCGCGGGACTCTACCCGAAGAGGTACTCAAGGTCCGATAGGACCAAATCTGAGCTCGATATCGAGCGATCTTATCGGTTACCGAGAGGAGCAAGAATTTCTCTTCTAATTAAAAAACTGCCTTTTCTGGTTAAAAAAAAAAATCTGCGGATATTTTGACGAGCACTACTTTTTATTTACGCAGAGGGCGCATAAGAGGGTTTCGAGAAGCAAGGCCGAATACATAGAGATGGGTCAGGCCGCCAACCCGATGACTCCATCGAGCATCGAAAGGAAGGAGCGCTACTTATTGTTAGCGAGAGACCGTAATCGGTACTTTTCATTCACGTAGAGGGCGGAAAATGGATAGCTCCTCGGAGCAGGAAAGGCGCCAACGTCCGAGTACACAGAGACGTTTCGGCAGCTGACATAACGAGACTCGAATTAGCCGAAACCACTCTCTCTCCCTCTCTCTCCCTCTCTCTCCCTCTCTCTCTGAGTCCGCCTCTCGGCCAGGTTTTTCGCTAAGAATAACCGCCGATTTGCGACGTACGTAGGTACTTTGCACCGAGTAAATAGCCGGCGCCGACGGACAAGGGGATGGGATGGGACGGGAGAAGACGAAGGAAACGAGAGTCTTCCCGGACGGCCCCGAGGAGCCCGATGCCAAGGTGCGGGAAACGCCGCCGGAGGAAGGCCGTCGAGTGCTCCTAATGTCGTTACTAATGTAACGTGCATGTGCTTATTGCCAGCTAAGGGGAGGGGACGAGCTCGCAAGAGAAAAACGTGGTCGGCGTCGGGGTCGACGACACCGAGGAGCAGGTCGGCGAACCGGCTCGGGATTTTGCGGGCTAATTTTCGCACGAACTCTTGAAACGACGCTTCGCGCGCAGGAGGACCCCGTTTTCGAAGACCGAAGACTGGAAAGAAATTCTCACCCCGAGGGAGACCCCGAAGAGAGGTCGCGAGTTTCCCTTTTCTCGCTTCTCTTATTTCAGAGCGGCGAGCAAGGGGCGGGATCCCTCCGTCGCGGAAAAAACGCGCCCTCGCGGGTCCTCTCGGGGAGGGCGCCTCGGAGGCGACTCGGAGGCGACTCGGAGGCGACTCGGAGGCGAGCGGCGCCGCAATTCGGAACGTCGTACCGTTATAGAACGGCCTAGGCACGTTGTCGAAAACATTGGACCAGCCCGCGAAGCCGAAGTCGGTCCCTGCCGTCGACGCGTCCTCCTCGCGGTCTCCTCGAGGAGAAGAACGCCTCGCCCGGTCGTTTGGATTCTTTCGTCCGATTCGTTGCAGACGTTGCGTCACGAGGCCGTTCGCGATAAGCGCGACATTGACGAACCGACGGGCAACGAGTCGCTTATCGCCCCGCGGACTCGTTCCGCCGCGACCTGCGCCCCGAAGTCGCTCCATTCCCTCCATTCCGCGACTCCGGAACGAAGGAACGAGAAGTCTCTTCCGGATAGGGATTTCGAACGGGAACGGAGCGAACCGAAGTGGCTCGGGCCTTCCCCTCGGCAGGGGAGCTCCTCGTTCCTGGCCGGAGTCGGCAAAAAGCCGCGAGACGTAGGCGACGGAGCACGTGACCGATCTCTCGTGGTCGTTCACGCGCTATTCATAACTCCGCTCCGTGCCGACGAGCGCGTACTCCTCGGTCGACTAAATATTACGACTCTTCCCGTCTCGCCGCGACTTGCGTAACCCCCGCGGGAATCGAAATTGCTCGACCCTTCCGACCCTTCCGGCTCCAGCTGGACCCGGCCTCGGGTCCTCCCTGCCCGTTGGAGTTCAAGTTCGGATCGCGAAGCCGTGGGGAGGGTACCTTGGCGCCGCATCAAGAGTCGCGTCCCGTCCGGATAGGCCCTCGATAAGAGCATACCCCGATAACGGGTGCTACTTAAAACTAAACTTCGGAACTAAGCAACTCATCGTTAATAGTCTCATCGCAGTAGGTTCCCTCCGTCTATGCCCTAATTTATGACGCGCGTTTCGACGATACGGGAGCCGTAGGTGCCAAACCCGATCAAACTGATATGTCCACTCGTGACAACGATAAGTCGGCGAATCCCTCTCGAGGGGACGCGACGATCGATCGGTTTTTAATTCGAGGAACGCCACAAGTTGTCGACGAGGGTTCCCCTCGAGGGGGGAGACGTCGGGAAAAAGCTACGCGGAAGACAATGAATTCCGCGAGTGCGCTTATGCAACGCTCCGGCCTCGTTGCACGTAATCGCGGTCATTTTCGCGGGCGCTATTGAAAAAAAAATTCTCCACGCGTTCGCAACGAATCCGACATATTTCGAAAAATTCTACGATAGAGATTACGAACGGGAATGTGCAAGAGGAAAATAATAAAGAAGAAATTGTGGGAAGGAGATCAAAGGTGCTTAAGCGCGCGGTGATAGATCTCTGCAAACCGGATCGTGGTCCGCTCGACGGCACGACGTCTCCTCCGCGGCGTTACCTCCTGGCGGGGGCCTAGCGAGGCCATTCGCGGCACCCGGGTTACGGTTTGCGACCTTCTCGAGGTATCGGTCGACGGCCTCTCCATCGAACGCTCCGAGACGCCGCGGGAAATGGATTAAACATCCGTAGAAAGGATCCGTCGACTTTCGTTCTCTTTTTGCGAAAAGAAAATATACGCGTGTACGCAAAACGTTAATAATTCGTGCAAGAAGCTGGCATACCATCGCGGTCCCTCTCGGATAACCCTTATCGGCGGCGATAACTCGGAGGGGGGCTCTCCTCCCCGGCCCGCGGCCAGGTGGAGGCGGAAAACGCGCCGCGGATCGATTAGGTGCGCCGCGGGGTCCGTCGGTTTCTTTCACGGGCCTCCGGGGGGGTCGCGGGGTCTCTGGTTTCTCTCTTGACGAGCTCTCCTCGGAGTCCGCCGCCCCAAGGAGAATTCGAGGAAATCGAAAGCAAAAGATGGAGAGGCCGGGTGCGGGAGAGGGTGCGGAGGCTCGTTCCTTGTTTTAATCGATGAGACTTGGCACCGTGACCGGGGTACACGTTGCTAGAGTCGCACAGGCGGGGCGCGAGATTTACGGTGAGGGTTGTCGCCCTTCGAGCCGGAACCGGGGTAAAACGCCCCGAAGGGGGGTTCAACGGGTCGTGGAATGATAGCGCGAAGGTGAAAACGGACTCGGAAGCTGCGTGACGTAACGCGGTCCGCGTGGCCGCGGGCGCGGGCGCGGGCGCGGGCGGCGGGCGGCGGGCGGCGGGGAGGGGGTGGACTCACCGCCGATGCTGAGCGCCCTCCACCGGGTCTTCCGCTTGCCCTTCTTGCCCATGGGCCCCGCCTCCTGGGCCCTCGGGGCCCTCTAGAGCGCGCCCGCCGAGCGGGTTCTCATCCTCGCCGTGCACTCTCGCCTCGCTCGGCCCTCGCCGTACTATCTGCGCGGCCGCATGTCGCGAGGGCCGCCCCTGCCGCTCCGTCTCCCTCTCCAAGTGCGAGGCGAAGCAGGCGCTCTCCCGGGGCGAGTACCTTCGCTGCTCGGGTCGCGGTCGCACACTGCGGTCCCCACCCTGCCGCCCAAGCTCCGCTGCGCGCGCGCCCCACCCGCGCTATCGGCCATGGCGGCCGGACCGCGCGGTTGCGTAAGGAGGGACGAGCTTCGGGAGGGGTCCCGCTCGAGGAATTCTCTTTCCACGATGCTCGTTGGGTAGGTGTTCCCGAGTGTTCCCGGGTGTTCCCGGGTGAGTCCGTTCAATGAGAAGACGAGAGCAGACGAGAGCGACGCGACGGCCGCTTCCACCCGGGGACGAAGGAGGCAGCGCCATCTCTCGTCCGTCCCGGTCACTCGATGCAACGAGGCGACTGGCCGATGGTCGCGCGAGTCGCTGCGATTTTTTCGAGGGTTATACGGGGAAACCGGTCCTGGATGGGTATGTCCGGGATGACCGCTTCCTGTGCCCGCCGTTCCGCCGCTGAACTCTGTTCGCACGAGTGAGTTGGGTCGAAAACGGTCAGCCTATAGATGCACGGGGTTTCTGCGAAGCAGCACCTTCCACTATCTACCGAGTAGGGTCATCTTCTCTCTGGTTCGTTCGAGATTGTCCGTGATACCGACGGGGGAGTCGTTCGCGGAGGTTGGTATGATCTTTTTTCGAAGGCCGTGGCGGATGGTGGCGGCTTTGCGACCGGGAACAACCGGGAATTCGAAAGATTCGGAAGATTCGAAATGTCGAGGTGTTTAAAGATATCCGGGTTGACAGTTTTGGGCAGAGGTAGATCGATTCGATAAGATTTAGCCGGGGCAACGTGTAATTTGTGCTATCTTATTAATGCGTGGTCTTTTTCAGGGTGAAGCAGAGAATTTACTTCAAGGCTGACGGTGGAGTTGAGGTTAAGTTCATCTACGAGTCTCGGATTTGTCGCCGGGCTCGGCTCGCAAGATCTCGTAACTGGGTCCGAGAGTAACGATAATTGTGTATATTAGGGCTTCCTCCAGCGTTCGGTTGTATTCATATTGTAATAATAGTATGGCAAAGATGGGGTCTCTTTGTGACTTCGTCGGTCCTCCACTGACCGGAGAAGTCACTACCGGTTTGATAGACGATGCTCCTCGATACTGTGACCGCTCCGATCTCTTTGACGAGGTACAGCCTTTTGCTATCTATTTAAGGGATTATCCCCAAGTCACGGTTACCTCCGATATGTTGGCTACTCGAGACTCGGCACGTACCGTCGGAGGTAGAGACCTTTTCCTTCCGGTCGAAGATAGCGCTTTCAAACGAATCCTCAGTGTATGGAGAGAGAGAGGATTTGTGGATGCAATTCGTGCCGCTTCCAACGAGGATCCTCAAAGAATCACCAGGGTGTTGCATTGGACTGTAACAAAGTATGCGTTAGTGTTTCAGAACCAAGTTCTGTCTTACAAGAAAATTAATTTACAGGCTTAAATGGACATTTGACGCTATAGAGAGGACGATATCCCGAGGAGAAGGCATACCCACGTCAAGATATGAATCCGTTGCGGACATAGCCACCACTCGAGACTGGGCAACTGCACCTGTTAATATACATTTTATATAATTGTTTTAAAGTACCTAATTTAAAAATTAACAGTTTTCAAAACTCTAGATTCGTTGCCTGTGTTGGCATCCACACTGTGCACGCCTTGCAGTGGCTACAAAAGACGATCGCATTAGAGTCTTCTCTAAAGGTACATCCGGTGTTGCCATTCTGAGGCACAGTGCCCAAAAATCTGTATGCTCCGTAAGCTGGAGGCCGAACGCAGGTCGAGAACTTGCAGCTGCGTGTCAAACAGGCGTGCTAATTTGGACGGTGGAATTAGGAGTAGCGAGCAATTCCCTTAGTCATGCTCTGCTTTTGCGACAGAGAAATCATTCACCGGTCACTAACGTCGCCTGGCATCCTCAGGTGGGGATCTAGTACTGGAAATAGTGTCCGAATAAAACGTGAAACAGGCTGTTAAAAACTGTAAAAATACATTTTCAGGGCGATCTCTTAATATCGTGTTCCCCTGCCGACATGAATATGCTCGTTTGGGACGTTTCAAGAGAGATTTGCGTCCCATTTAAACGAATAGGTGGAAATGGGCTGTGCTTTGCTCGCTGGTCGCCTTGTGGATCGCGATTGTTCTCGGCCACCAGCCGTGCGATTTTCAGGTACAAATTCATCTTCCTTGTAACAAAAATCACAAACTTCAAAAGTCAATTTAACGACACCTATTATTTCCAGAGTTTGGAACACGGGAAAAGGCACTGCCTGGGATGCCGAGAAATGGAAGGTTCCGAACGGACGCGTTGCCGATGCTTGCTTTGGGCCACATTTAACATTGCTATTCACCTCAACCGAGGATCCAGCAACCGTATTTTCCTTACCACTGCAAGAAAACATATTCGATGTGAAAGATACCATAGTTCCCAGTGGCATAAAAATCGCAGTGCCTTTGATCGATCTGTCGAGGGTTTACTTTCCAACAGTGGACGGAGAGATTTCTGTTGGCGGAAGAATAGTAGCCATGGATTGGGACCCTTCGGGAAAATACCTTGCAATTATCTTCCGAGTAAGTCTCTATACCTAGACAAATATTTTCCGAATTTTATTATTACTAAATTCTGTCACACAGGATAGTCCGGTGGTCGTCCTCTATCGAACAAGAGCCATCATCGGATCGAGAATAACCGATGTCTCTCCAGGATGCATCATCAAAGGATTCTCCGACGAAGTGCCCGACTGCATGCAATTTTATCAGAACTACGACCCGGACGTGAACTCGATTTGCCTCACCATCGCCTGGAGTAGCGGACGAGTGCAACATTTTCCTATCGTGTTCAGCTCGCAGCGTGTAACGAGTCGCTCGATGCACTCAACGACGGTGCGCTTCGGGAGCAGCAATCTGCAGGACATATCGTTGCACAATTATTCCTTGTCGCATTAGAGGACACGCATTCCGAGCTGGGAACCATCCTCCCTTTCTCGCGGACTGAAGACACCGATATCTACTTCTACGGAATGCCTCACGCAGAGCGTTTCTATTTTTATGACATTAAAAGGAATCCTTCTCTAGTCTTTTACTCGCTCCGAATACGAGGGTCGCTTATTTCGAGTCCCGGTCTACATTCGCGCCTAGTATAAGGTATACAATCTAAACGGGTGTTGAAAATTCGATTTTAGAGTACAACCGACATGGGAAATCGGTAGACGTCGGCGATATATTTCTCCGACACGAAATACGTTTTACATAAATTAAGGGTATACGGGATCATGTGAATCCTTTCGGAAGAGGCGTAACCGGGGTCGACCACCTAGAAAAACATACGTCGACAAAAAAAAACGGGTAAAAAGACAGAAACGTCGAATCTTGTGGCAGAACATGTCAAAGGGTAGGTTCGAATCTTCGAAAACCTACCCTTTTTTCCTCCTCCTCCCCCGAGTATTCACAGTTCCTCGCCTCTCCTCGGCCTGCCTCGAGCATATTATTTTAAAAACGCGCACGCACATGCGGCTGTAGTACGAGGTTGACAGGTGCCACGACAAAAAAGCAAGAGGGGTAGAGAGCGAGAGAAAGAGCGTAGTACACATAATGTAAGCACGGAGGGCTGGCAGACCACATGTGCCACTCTATCACTTATCTACTCGTAATGCGATGTATACAACCGGACGGTGCATGGTGCATGCGAGGGGTTGCACTTTACGGCTGCGGTCTACTCGGCGACCAGTCCGTCCGTACTCGATGTATGGTTTTGCAACGATCTTTCTGGCAAGGGAAATAAGTAAAATGTAAAGTGTCTCTCATCGGTTTAGTAGCAAGTGCATAAAGACAGTTGCAGCATTCCGTGCACCTCGCCGTTTGCCAGGAAAAGAGGGAAGAATTTTCTCGCTCTTTTACCCTCGGCAAAAAGCTGAAGAAAACATCGCAAATTCGTCCTCTCGCACGCGACCAGGTTCGAAAAAAGTAGGAGCCAGATAGAATAAGGCAAAGTCGGAATGCGCGAGTATAACAGCTATCGCACGCGCGCCCGAATGTCAAAATGCCACTGTTAGTATACGACGCGTGTGCGGCAGCTGCATTGACATTTTTTTGTCGAAGGCTCGTTGCTCGGACCAAGGGGAGCCGGGCCCCTTCTCCCCTCCCGCCGGCGCATCTCCTTACGCCGAGGATCCCGAGAGCGACCCTTCTTCTTTCGCTTCTTTTTCTCGAGGATTTTTCCTCATTTTTTCATTGGCCCCGAAGGACAACGGACTGTCCAGATCGACCGCAAAGGAACACTCCGTGCTCCTGAGAGCAATTAAGGCAAAACACGAGGAAAGGTGTCGGGTTCCTTGAACGTCTGCTCCCCGATAAATAAATCGGTGACAGGACCTCGAAGATATCCATTGGAACGAGGTCCTCTGCACCTTTAGAATTAAAAAAACGACCACAATTGTACTTCGCTTCTTCGGGTCTTGGCATTTTTATCACGTATTTCTAATTTTTCTCCTGCGTAAAGCGCGACTATTTCGAGGGATTAATTTTAGGATCGAGCAGTTTTGGGAATAGAGACGCGACGTACCGATTAATTCGAGCCAGTCCGGGGGGAGAATCTTTCGGTAGAATTTTTCTTGTTTACTCTGCCCTTTTTTCCTCTTCGAGCGGGATGCTGTACGCCGTCTTTGGCAAGTTGTGTTTTTGCCGAGGGTGAGAGGCCTAAGGGTCTGCGGGCGCGGAAGGGAGCGACGAAGACGACCACGTGTACCGGAGTGGGGTTGCCGGGACCGCCCTTCGTCGCTCCGATCATCGGCGCCGTCATCTCGGGTTAATTTCTTGCCTCTTAAGCCAGTTTCCTTCGATCTGCCGAGCGGTCTGGACCGCCTCGGACGAGTTAACCTACTCACATTCTCATTGAAGTCTTGATGCGAAACTAAGACTCGCAGGGGGCACCGGGTGAGCAATCGGATTTCTCGAGACTCACGAGCGGTAAAGTCTAAGGATGCACCTTGAGGAGTACCCCATCGGTACCGAGGTGCACGGAGAAGCGCTGGGCTTCGGAAACGTTTTCGACGCGACCATGGGAAATACGTCCACCCGGAACACCGTGCAGTCCTACTGGAGCACTTTGCACTCCGACCTAGACACCCCACCACTCCTGCAGAGCCCGGGTGCGCCCGATGCGCCCGATGCACCGGATGCGCCGGAATGCACCGACCTGGAGCACCTGGCTGCAGCTCTTCGATACTCCTACCAGTCCTATTCTTCGGGAGCGGAAGACGCAACCTCTCCCACGGGAAGCACCACGGGGAGCGAGATCGCCTCGCCCTGGGAGAATTTCCTGATTAAGTCCGAGCTCGAGGACCTACCCGAAGCGGGACCGACTCCTCTTCAGAGGCTGCCCTCGATCGGCACCGCGTTCTCCAGGTCGTTTCACAGTCCAGCCTCCTCCTATCAGGACTACCTGGAGACTTCGGGGTTCCGGGACTACCAGGAGGCCTCGGAAGACCCCCGGATGCCGAAGTATCCCGTGGACTCGCAGACGGTCCAGAACGCGAGCCAGACTCCATCCAGTATCCGGAGCCTGGCGGATTCCCTGCAGATCATGGAGGAATTTGACATGAGCCTGATAAGAGGAGATCCCACGTCCTTGCTGACTAGCGCGGACTCACCTGCCTCCCCGTTCTCGGCGTATCTCGACGACTTCAGGGACCCATTCGCGAGTTCCTTGGGTAGTTCCTATGCGGTTGGCCACTTGGTCTCTACGGCGGTGTCCTCGTCTTCGGCTGCACTCCCGAGGGAGAGGTTCGGCCCAGGATGCGACTTCAAAAGGGATCACGAGGTGGATGGCAACAGAGTGGTCCTGCCCCAGAAGGAAGGACTGCTGGTCGACGATGCGAGGCTCCTCTCGGGGAAGAGGGACTCAAGGGAGAGCACGATCGACGGATCGTACGGTATGTGGTTAATTCTTGGATCTAAAATCAGAATGAAACAATGACGAACGAGTAGAAATGAAGGATAAAATAATAAGGCGGGTTTTCAGCGGGCAGGACCTTCGAAGATGGGGTCGGGTCTGCCGAGGCCTACTGCTGCAAATGGCTTGACTGTGGATGCACCTTCGCGGAACAGGAGGGACTCGTTCGGCACATCGAGAGGAGACACGTCGAGTCGACGTCTTCCAGTGCCCATGGACAGGGAAGACGGTTCCAGAGGGACAAGGACAAAGAAAAGGATGGCGCCGAGGGCACCGTTTCTGCGGCGCAGGACGAGTTCGCCTGCCTGTGGCAAGGGTGTCCTCGCGCCAGGCCCTTCAACGCTCGATACAAACTGCTGATCCACATGAGGGTGCACAGTGGGGAAAAGCCGAATAAATGCCCGGTAGGCCACCGAAGCGGTTCTAGGCCACTGCGGTTAAAATCGCGGATCGAGCCTCGACGAGCAATCTTTTCAATAATTCCAGTCTTTTGCAGTTCGCAGGATGTAAGAAGGCCTTCTCGAGGCTGGAGAACCTGAAGATCCACCAGAGGTCGCACACTGGCGAGCGGCCTTACAATTGCCAGCATCGAGGGTGCACCAAAGCCTTCAGCAACAGCAGCGACCGCGCTAAACATCAAAGGACTCATTACGACACGGTATGCACGATGCATCGATGTTTAAACGAACACCATAAGTCGGTATCCAATACTGGAGGCGTAAATCCTAGGCCGATCTTGAGAGTCTCGCGATACGTTTGCAGAAGCCCTACGCCTGTCAGGTCATCGGCTGTGGGAAACGATACACGGATCCGTCCAGCCTTCGGAAACACGTGAAAAGCCACGCGGAGCCGAGTCCAAAATCCTGTGGGGCGAGGGCAGCCCCCAAGCTACGAGTACCCGACTCGGATCCCACCGTCAGGTTCGAAGGAGGCGTCGAAGAGGCTCCCGCAGCCGTAGATCGTGTCCACGGGGTCTTCGAGGACGACCAGCAGGAGTACGTGCCCTTCGAGTCCGTCAGCAGACTCCTCATGGAGGAAGCGAGTCGCGCGAACATCGACGTTGTGGGTGGGTATTATCTGGAAAAAAAAAAAAATTCTAATTAATATAAAGGCTCGATGGAGAAGGAAATGCCGGCGCATTCTTATCGGCCAAGCTCCCTGTAAGTCCTATAAAAAGTCCGGGATTGGCTGCTTCGACGCTTCTTTTCTTTTTCTTTCTCGTTTTTTCATGGCGCATAGTCGGCGCCCACGGCCGCGATCGGCAGCGCGATCTTAATAACGTCGACAGGGGCAATCCTCGCTCAAGGGTTCTGAATCTCAGAGGAGGTTGGCCCCGCTTTATGCTCCTACCCCACACAGAGGCCTAAAATAATATCCATAGTTTTTTTGGTACAGTCACGTATGCTAGCCACGCGACGCACGCACGCGCCACGGCGGTGACATTGTCACGTGCTGCACGTGCCCATGTAACCCTTTACATGCGTGCATTATGTACATACCACCGATGCATCTGCAAGCTCCGCGACCGCGAGGAGAATCGCCCTCCTTTGCAAATCTGTAACACGATAAGAATTAATAAGAGTTCACTGTGAAATGAAAAACAAATCAATTCGTTCGTAACATTTTTTTGCTTTAAATAATTTTGAATACGGTTTTAATACATTTTTAATCGTCTACTATGTTTTGCGATTTCAGAGTGTCCCCAAGGAGACGACGTTCCGGACTTCCAGGTTCTTGCTTCGGAAATCGAGAGGCAATTCCTGGAACTGAGCGACTTGGATGATTCTACCTTTATAGGAGGTTAAATTTTGTAAAAGGGAGCTTGGGATTTCTTAAGTGCAATCGCGATGCCAAAGACACTTGTATGTACATACCATAAGGAGGCCCCAAGGGGAACGCGTGATATATATGTATGTACATGGATAAATGTAAGAGATATTGTGACACTACAGGTTACGTTCATAGGCGATCTACTATTATTGAGATTTATATTATGCTGGAGGTAACGCGGAATGGCTGAAAGCGATAGAAAAGTTTATATTTTTTACTTTGACATAAGTCGATGTAGTTTTATATAAACATTAGGTACTGCGGGCATTAAAGGACCGTAGTTAATTTATTCTAAAGTACCACGTAAACACGTTCAGCTACAATGACCGAGTACGGAATAAACACTTATATCTTTTATTAAAATGTATGCCTGGGGGGGAGCTCCATCCCCCCCCCCCCCTCGGTTATCCTATGTTCCTGTTACAAATCGAAAATTTCAACCCCTAAAATGTATGAAGAGAAGAAAAACGGTTACCGATGAGTTGGGAACATGTTGAACTCTACGGGACTCTACGGGACTCTACGGGACTCTACGGGACTCTACGGCACTCTATGGAACGCTTACAAATGCTCGATAACGCTCGAAAACGCTGTAAAAACGCTCTGATAATGATCGAGAAACGGTACCATCACGAGTACGTGAGCCACCAACGGCGACTGGTAGATGGTACCACCATCGCGAGTGCGCGAGCTCCTATCAGAAATTCGTTGCGCCGCCCTTGGGGGCAAAAAACGGTGAAAGCTAACGTATGAAACCAGAGGGCAGCACAGGATGCGATCGCACGATCCTGCCCGTGAGCAATCTCCCAACTCATCTCTGTAAATATGTTGAGTGAACGTACCCATTCATCAGATGAGCGTGAACCGATCACTCAACAGTTGTCACCTCTGAATGCCAATATTCTTACAATAGAAATCTGAAATCACTTTCGTCGGTGTAGATAACGTCACCAACAGGTGCATGAAATAACGCGTAAGTATCGATTATAGCAAACTAGGAAAACGTTTGAAGAGGTTATATTGGATAAAACCTGCGTAGCAGCACTCGCAGATACATGCACACAAGTGTCATTGTCACAACTGGCCCGAAATCACCGGAAACGTGATCGACTAACCGTGATTTATATAAAAAATTGTAATGTTATCAATGATGTTTGTCGTCTGAATTGAAGATTATGGACGGAAAACTTTCTCCAAAACCGCGGTCGAACGAAGAAGTTATAGATCAGCTGACAAAAGATTTAAGCAGCTCTTGTTCAACGATGAGCAAAGAGAGCGATGGGGACTGTAGACAGAGCACCTATTCAGAAATTCATGAAGAAGACGAAGAAGCAACCCCTAACAAGGAAGAACTAGAAACAAATTCTCAGGAAATGCTAGATGATCTCGTCGACGAAGAGGCATTAAAAGACAGGGAGATCGGACTGAGCGAGACTGACAAAGATGTTGGTGTTAATACGATTTAAATAGCATGCCATTTCTCGTTTCTCAAAGTAACGGTGACTATAATTTCTTTTTCAGAGCCTGAGAAAAGAAGCTGAGACCTTAAAGAACGAGGGTAACTCACTCTTTAAAATTGGAGAGTTTAAACAGGCATCGTCTGCCTACACACACGGATTACAAACCTGTCCACTAGCATTTAGCAATGACAGATCTATTCTGTATGCCAACCGGGCAGCTGCAAAGTCTAATTTAGTGAGTAAGACATACAAACCACGTGGACAAGTTACTATGCTTATGGAGATAAATAATTGAATCGATTACAGGGGGAAATAGAATTAGCGATAACGGATTGCAGTAGGGCCGTGGAATTAGATACGAATTACGTTAAGGCATACCTAAGGAGAGCTCGACTCTACGAGCAGTCGGAAAAATTGGACGAAGCTTTGGAAGACTTTAAAAAAGTTCTAACCTTTGACCCGCAACACGTGGAAGCAAATCGTGCCATAAGGGTAGGTCTTACCTGTTCCACTTAATTTTAACTTCAAGATACCCCTTGTTAATCAATTTACTCGTATCCACAGACACTACCAGCGGCGATTCAGGACAAGAATGAGAAATTGAAGGCCGAAATGCTGAGCAAATTTAAAGACCTTGGAAATATCATGCTAAAGCCCCTTGGCCTTTCGACGGATAACTTCAAACTCGAAAAAAACCCCGACGGCGAAGGATACTCGGTTAAGTTCCAACAGAATCTAAATTAAGAAGCGGATCGAACCGTATACCGCCAGGGAAAGTGACACAATGACTGGACAGAAATGCAACGATCATTTTCGTATTCTCGAACCACGGGATACGGTCAAGTCATACAATTTGCGCTGAGCATCCCCCGGCCAGGTATCCCCGAAAGAAATCACCTCCCGAACGAGACTCCCGCACATGTATATGAGCACGATTAAAGTAATCAATAAAACAACGACTTCAAAATCATCAAGCCGAAGCGCATGTCATACATTTCCAGGGGTCCTAACATCTCTTGATTACGATATTCGCTAACGTCACCGATTTATCTCGCCATTTCCATACTCGATCAGCGACAGGATTTAATGAAGGTCCCCGTAATTTCATTTTGGATATTGTAACATATTGTACAACATGATCTGCGGATAATGAATTCACCTCGAAAACTAGGTGAACGGATCGGAGAATGAAACCGTAGGCGGGTGGGAGGCCGGGGCATGAATCACCCCGAGGAAGCAATACGACTCCATAAAATAACGTAGGGGGTGTTCCCACCCCCGGGGGCGGCGCAGGCGTGGGCACATGCGCCCTGGTGTAGTACATTAGCGGCGACCGCTGTCGACGATCCCCCGCGAAGACGGCAAGGGCGCCCAGGGAACCACCCAGAGAAGTCGGCGGGCTCTCGTGCTCTCCAGGACGGTCGCGCCCCGAAGCCGAATCCGACCTGGCCCTGGTGCACCGCGACGCGACCGAGAGGCGACTCGAGACCATGCGAGGGTGAGTCCCGGGGCGACGTGGAGGAGGAGCAGAACCCTTCTCGGAGCCGATATCATGGAGGAGGAGCCGGTGATCCGGAAGGTGAGACTCCGCTCGCGGCGCGGTCTCGCCGCGTTCGGCCGAATCGATATTTCGGTGCCCCGATTACGCGAGTCGCCCTTTAATTCTAATTCGCGTGACGGCGCAATCCGTAATCCACGTCGCGGGGAAGCGCCAATTTCACGGTGCTCCACGGTGAGCTCGATTAAAATCGGGAATAAGTCGAGGACGAGCGATTGGCAAGCGGCGCCGAAAGGGGAACAATTGAGAGTCCTGTTAATACGAGTTATGCAACGAGCCCCGGATATATTCGTGGGAACCGATGTCTTCTTAATGAAATCTCCCGAGGTCGATGGATGCGCCCACGCCACCCCGTCCTCGAGGTCGCCCGCTCGCTTCTGGCCTAAATTTCGGGCGACTTCGCGAGACAAAATCAATCCTTCAATTAATTCTTCATTTTTTTAACGTTCCCAATGGTCGCCTCGTGGCCTCGCAGGCGGCAGCGGGCGGCAGCGGGCGGGTTCCAGGACATACGAGGGAGGTTCGAGGGAGTTCCCCTCGGGTGCGCTCATCAATCCACGCGGTAAATACCGCGGACACGTGGTCCGTCCTATGAATCACTCGGCGGGCACTACTCGTTACTCTTTTACGACGTGGCCCCCCCTTTTGACAAGTACAGGTTACCCGGACCCTGCGGGAATTCCTCGAAAAAGTATGCAATCGTTGCACTTCACCCGAAAAGTCGATTGGTTGCGATCCTGAGGAGAGATATCGTGGCCTCCCCGGAGAAGGGGCTCGCAAAGTTGCCTTTCTAATCTAACATAATATAATCTAAAGTAATATACGACCAGGATGCCCCGCGCGCTGATAAAAATGCCCATGTAAATTTACATACTCGATTGCCGCAATAAATTTCAATAACATTACATTGCTTCCGATATACCGCGTTCGGCATCTGAGTTGAGTTAAAGAAATTTATAATGTATTATTCCGTAGAGGTGAAAATGCTCCGATACGGTACATATCCAATGTTACGTGTATTCGTACATTTTCTAATTCCATGTTTTTCCCTTGTACGTTTTTCTGTGCGAAATTTCGGTTACTAGGTGCGTAAGAACGCATGTAAATTCCTATCGATTTTCATCAGTGCTGGTCTTCCTTGAATTTTGGGTTTCATCGGCCCACCTTCCGGGATTTCGTCCACCCCGATTAAGACGACCCGGGGCGCGATAAAGCGGCGATCGAATCTCGGCCCGAGGCCTCGGTTTAAGAAATGCGCCCGCAAAGGAGAGCCGTCCCGGCAAGATCCGGCAAACGGGCCTTAGGACGTCTCGCGGGTCGCGGATATCGTACCGCGCGTTTCTTCAAAGTAATTTACGCATGAGACTCGCGGCAGGCGTTATCGACCCCGGGCCTTCCGTCCAACGTGTTACGCTTTATCGCAAGTGCACCGACACGCGGGGAAATCACCTGCTTCGCGCAACTCCGGGCTATGCACGCGACGCGTCGAGCCGCGCGTAAACGATCGCTGACGCGGTCGAGCGAATGCAACGCGAGATATAAACCGAAAATATATTTCTCGCTATCAAACTAAACCGGTCGGGAGAAAATCCGAAAGTCAAGTTAACGACGTTACGGAGCATTCTTGCCGGCGGTGCCGATGCAAGTACGACACGCGACGCGTCCAGTCGGACCCGTTCCGCTGAGTATAAATAATTCTGCCAGAGATCCATGTCAAAATTGTATCAAAATGCTGCGGTTCCGGCCAAGAAGACTCTATAGGTCTAACGGGATAGTACATACACATTGTACGGTCGGAAGGGGTCAAGTAGAAAAATGCATTTCTTCCGTGAGTTCTCGAGTAGAGATGCACCGGCGCCCCGGATGCATCTGGGTATGCCATTAGTGATGCACGTAACCGAATGGTAAATACTTGCATCGCTGCAAGGGAGGGGAGAATCTCTCGGTATTTGCGTGCTCGTCGGGCCGCAGCGAGTGAGTTTTGCCTTAAGTTTCAGTCTCAGGCCATGAGAAACAGACCGCGGCGTCTGTCGCGCCGCGAGAGACGGCCCCTTCAGGTAGGACTCTTCCTGGTGTACGTGGTGATGCAGCTGGCGACATCGACAGGGCAGACGACGAACGAAAACGGGGGTGTGAACGAGATGCCTCCACCGTCACCTGCGATGCCTTCTCCCTCCCCTGCAGCGCCGACGACGCCGAAGGCGGCGCCGGAAGCCCCGAAGCCGCCCACGAGGACCCCCCCGAACAAGGGACCGGGACAGAAAGCGGTGGTCCCGGGTGGTGAAACCATCGATAAGCACGCGGAGCCCTCGAAGCCCCGAGAACCTTCCAAAGAGCCCGGGACCATGTCCAAGGAGTCCCCGAAAAAGGTCCAGGGGGTGCTCGGCACGACTGTGAGTGGTTCCCGAAAAAGCGTACTACTTCGAATAATCCTTCTCCATCTCTCGTACGTGCATCGTCCTTCAACGATTTCATTTGACTCGCGGAAACGTCAACTCTTCGAGGTGAGATCAGCGGTGGTCCGAGTGGGCCGGAATTTAACTCGCCTCGGAAATGACTCGAGAGATGGAGAAAGGAGGATGAGAGAAAGAGAGTGGCACTCCGCATCGCGGATCGTATTCCGAGGCTTGACTTAATGACTGCAAATTAATGCAAGTGAATAATGACGAGTAGGCGGCCCCGACGAGGACGACGCCCTACGTGGACCTTCATCCTACTTGGCGGCCCAGACGAGAGAATTGTTCGCCACCGGCCATCGAGCAATTTCCTCGACCCCTGATGGGTCCGGGGGCGAGGAAACACGGAGGCTTGATCATCCACGTGCTGGTGGCCGTTTACACCTTCCTGGGCCTGGCCATCGTCTGCGACGACTACTTTGTCGCCAGTCTGGACAGAATATGTGAAGGTACAGGACTTTGAGTTCTTCGTTGCCCGACGATCTACCCGACGATGAGTCTCTCCGCTTTCAGAACTACGCTTATCACCCGACGTGGCAGGCGCGACCTTCATGGCTGCCGGGTCGTCCGCTCCCGAGCTGGCGACCGTCGTCATCGGGGTCTTCTTCGCCAAGGACGACATAGGTGTACGCGTTCCTCGAATTTATCTCCAGGCTCTGCATGCCTTGAATCAACTAGATCTTAATTGACCCTCGCGTGAACTGGCGATAAGGTGCATGTATTGCGGCAGGTCAGCGGCGTTATCGGGAGCGCGGTCTTCAACATCATGTTCGTCATATCGGTGTGCGGTCTCTGCTCTGGCACGGTCTCCAAACTGAACTGGTGGCCGCTTTGTCGGGACTGCTTCTTCTACGCCATCTCCATCCTGGTGATGCTAGGCACGATCTTCAACGAGAGCATATCCTGGTAAATCCTCCACCTCTTTCGAAATTAATTATATTTCTCGGTATCTAAATAACTTGTAAAATATACCCCTCAGGATGGAGTCCCTCTTCATGCTGCTGATGTACGCGGTGTACTGCATCGCTCTGTCCTTCAACGCGTCCTTGGAGAGATGGGCCAAGTCCTACAACATCCCGTTCCTGCCCAAGGATGACGACCCTGCCGAGGAAAGCGCCCTGGTGAGCTACAGATCACTTCAGGAAGAGCGGTTATCCTATACCGGACCCATCTCACCGGTAACGGAACAGGTCAAGGCGCAGGAAGGTGAGCTCTTCAAGATGAAGATCCCCTTTCGACCTCTTCCTTCTTCGACCACTTCTTCCAGGGAACCCGATGGAGATGGACCAACCGCATCAGCAACAGCCGCCGCCGCCGCCGCCGCCGCCGCAGCAGCAGCAGCCAGTGGCGAAGCAGGCGCCGCAATACTACAAAGCCAAGGATCCAGATCCAAACGAGGTGTCTCCTCTCGTCATGCCCGCTGATGCTACTCAATGGAGAAAATTCACGTGGGGTCTGGTCTACCCCATCCACTTCATGTGTCGAGCCACCATGCCGGACTGCCGCCAGGACAAGTACCGGAACTGGTACCCCTTCACCTTCTGCATCTCCATGATATGGATCAGCTTCTACAGCTACATCATGGTGTGGATGATCACGATAATAGGTACATATATACAAACCCCGCGCCATCTCTCCCCTCTTCGGGAATCAAGGTTTTACGCACTCTTTTTCGTCTCTTCAGGAAGTACATTGGGGATCCCCGACACGGTGATGGGGTTGACGTTCGTGGCGGCCGGAGTCAGCGTTCCCGATGCCTTGTCATCCCTCGCTGTCATTAAGGAGGGCCTCGGCGACATGGCAGTGAGCAACGCGGTTGGCAGCAACGTCTTCGACATCCTGGTCTGCCTGGGGTTGCCCTGGTTCATCCAAACGGCCATGATCTCTCCTGGTTCCCACGTCAACGTCACCAGCAGAGGTGAGAGTTTCTGGAAAATCATTCAAATGTACACATTAACGTGAAAAATCCCCCTCTTCTTCAGGGTTGACCTACTCGACGATATCTCTGCTCTCCACCGTGGTGTTTCTGGTCCTGGCGACGCATCTGAACGGCTGGAAGCTGGATCGCCGATACGGAGTTGTGCTGATGATCTGGTACCTCGTCTTCATAGTGTTCGCTTCGCTGTACGAGCTCAACATCTTCGGAGAGATGAATCCACCCGTGTGCCCGAGCTCGTTCTAGACTCCTCCAGGTCCGCCCCGGTGCCTTCTTCGAGGCCCGTAAGTTCCACCCGAAGAACTTCCTAAACAGTGGAGAAGAAGCTCCTGAAGAATCCTCCGTGTCTCTCCGCTACTCCACAACCTGGAGATCCGAGCTAAAGTCGAGGTCGGTGACACTTCTTCGGATGACCCTGCCACGTGGCACATGACAGGCCTCCGTATAATCCATCAGTATTACGAGTGTTACTTATTATTTATCTCGCTGGTATCGACCCGTAAGCCGATATCGCTGCACCAAATTCGGGCGTATGGGGGAAAAAGAATCCAAAACTCGCGCAAACGTCGCGCGCCGATATTCTCCTCACGGCGCATAGGATAATACCGTGATGGTCCAATTTTCTCATTGATCTTCTTCGATTTTCTGTTGAAAACCGTTGCAGGATCTTCGTCGATTTCTCCGATCGATAGGATCGATGCTCCATCGGTTGGATGCAGGCTCGACCCCTCCTGCCCTGACGCCCTTCCGAGGCGACGAAAAACCTGAAAATAAATACGAACCGTAAACGACGGTATATCTAAATACAAAAAGTCGTTCCTATTTATCGTAGAGTAATCTCTAGGTCCTAATTCTCAGGCGTACTAAAGCACAGGGCGTGAATAAACGTGAAAAAGCGAGGAAATGAATTTCTACCCCGTTCTCTCGGGACGCCAGGGCCAGGCGGGTTAAAGTGACGTAAAAGCGGTATCCGAGAGGTCGATCGTTTATGGGACTTTCCTCCGGACCGGGTGTACCGAGTCGTTCGAAACCTCACCGCGTGAGTATGGAGGCCCTAAGGAAGGTCTGGACACCTACGAAATTGCATTTTTTATAAAAAAAAAAAGAAATTTAAAAATAGTTTAGAAGAAAAAATCATTTAGGAACGAACGCTCACGAGTGTCAGGACCTTCCTTGGGGCCTTCGCAGTCACGAAGAAAAATTTCAAATAATTCGGTACACCCAGTTTGGCGAAAAATTTCACAAACGAGACCCCCTTAACGCCACTTTCACCTCACCTTAAGCTTATCTCGTCGATTCGCCGTGTTAGAATTTTTGCGAGGTATTCTGCAAATATTTAGAAGTACACGTGGTCGCCTAGTAAACGCAGCCTAACGTTACAACCTCTAGTGCCTGGGATAGGATATTTCGCGAGAAGTCAGATTACGAGGAACCCCGACTTTTGTCGGCCCTAATCATTCGGTTACATCGACCCATGCACTTATAGTTGTAGAGAAAAATGAAACGGATAGAAAGCGGGCTAGCACGTTAAAGTAAAAGATAAATAAATAAATCCGCAGAATCGTCGCATCTGCCGTGACGAGAGTGTCGCCGTGTGACGCGCATACGTGCGGGTCACGACATAGAATAGACGTACGTTTTTCAAGACTCGTGTCCTTTTCATCGTCGGAGGAATTCGATGGTTACAAGTAATTACAATGACTCTCTAAGCGCGATCCCTGTTAACGGTGCGCGTCTTTAGGGCGGTCGGTCGCTCCCGAGGGAGAGACGAGAGCGAAGACACGAATCTTGAATGAGCATAAAGAGTAGTCGCAGTCACGTTCCGGTACACGTATCCATACGAGACGCGAAGGATAATTACCGCAGACGGGAATGCGCTCGTCTTCGAGCATTCCGTGTGCCCTTAGAATTTAATCGTCACGTCGAATGGCTTCGAGCTCCACGGTTGCGCGACCATTCCGGGAGAGAAATGAAAAGTGGATAAAAATCGAAGGACGCGTTTTTCAATTTCTCATCCATTTCAATTGAACCCTCCTCCCGGGACACGCTCCCGTAAGGCTAAGGAAGACTAAATACCAAGTCCAAGTTATATGCGTTAATTAGCCATGAAAGTGAAATATGCAATGTCGGTCGCGATATCGATAATTCGCCGATCGGAGGACGTCGCTTATCCGCGAGATGCGCATCGGGTCGTGTAAAAGTAACGAGAGAAATTATAACATGCGTTCTTCGTCGTGGGTGTTTGTAAAAAAAGATGATCTAACTCCGACGACGACGAAGAGGGGAACTGACCGAAGTCCCGAGAACCATTTACGTCGCGATCCGTGACGTACTTTAGCTGTGGTTTCTACGCATCTATCGTGTAATGGCCTTTGTTGATTTAGCTCGATTTATATATTACATTACTACATAGGTATATGTATAGAAACGTACACAACGACCGTCTCCAGCCGTTTTACAAAGCGATCGAAGAGCGTCTCTCGGACCCCTTCTGTCTTCCTTCCCCGAGATTAGATTCGCCAGTAAATGTCCGCCTGCGATCGATACCAATTAATCGAGCGCATGCATAGGAAAAAGTTGAAACGACCGCTCAACAGACGCCGCCATTTATGCGCATCCTTTGGGCGAAGCAACGCAATTATTGAATTATTGATTACGCGCTCGCGCCTCGCGACGCCGCGCGGATTCGAGGAAAGGGAATCAGCGATTGAAGACGAGGTGAACAAAAGTAATACCTAGTTCCTTCGCCGGGTCTCTGGCGGGAAAACATTCGGTGTAGACCGTTACGAAAGGGTGGGCGGAAAAAGAAAAGAAAAAAAAACGGATAATGGCGGGGAGGAAAGCACAGAGGGACGCCTGTGCCTTGCTCAGAAATTCTAAAGAGTGACGGACCTTGAAGCCAGGATATGTTTTAAGGAAAGAAAATGTATTCTCGTGTTCTGACTCCACGACTCGCCAAGTCTTTGACGGATTTCTCAGCGGGGCTGCCCTCGATCCGACCGAGTCGCGAGCACGGCGGAAAAGAAAAAAAAGGACAATAATTGACGCAGCCTTATCCGATGAAAGTATCTTACCTAATCCCGATCTTGCGCGTTCCTCGAGACCGTCGCGGACTCGGGACCCCTTACCGATGTTTCAAAAGGAAAAAAGAAGAAGAAGAAGAAGAGACCTGGACCCATTGAACGCTTCTGCGAGTCCTTTTAAGAGGTCCTGCCGAATTTCCGGAGAATCGAAGGCGCTCCCGAGGGTCGCGAGGATCGCGAGGGCGCTCTAGCGAATGCCATTGTTTAGGGAAAAGCTTTAGATTGTTGACGTTGAACGTGTTATTAATTATTACCATGTCGATTAGCACATTAGGCTGTCCTAGTGAGGCGTTAGTTCAGGAAAGGTGGCCGGACGAATCCTTAATGATCTCGCGAGTGCGGGAAACACGTTCTCCTCGTCTTTTCGGTACATATAGTTGTCATCCAGGAGTCGTCCTGCAATTGGTAAGAAAAGTCAATCTTAGGATATATACACAGGCATATACATACACGTTATAAACTGAAGGAATGAGCTTTAAGTCGCCAGTCATTCGAGAACCACGATCAATTCGAGGGTGCCCTTACGTACCGTGACGAAAACCAAGTCAATACTTCCGATTCCTAGACAGAGAGTACTTTGACTTTGAGACTTCTTTTGTTTCATTGATAAATTCCGTCCTCACAGACCCCACTTCAACCCTTCAACCGCATTTCTGAGAAAAAAAAAAAAAATTTCACTTTCATCCTGCCATTTTCCCCCGATTTTCCCTAGTTCTATTTATTCCAACCTTACGCCCCACAAATATACTTTATTATTAATTAATTCCTGCCAGGACGTACCTTCACCTGAAATTCTAGTTTTCCCCGAAGGTTCTACGCCGTCAAATTAGACTAGGATAAAAATCGGGATCCTTGGGGAAGAGTTTTGGTACGATTTTCCTTTTGCGAGATCCAAAGATCGGGCCCGAAATTATCGAGTTCGTCTTCCTGTATGAATTTAGAGAATTCTATTTCCTCACCACTGTAACAATTCGACCGAGTGTAACCTAAAGCGTCAATATAATCTAGTCGTAGCCGTGTACATACATACATACCATATGATTATTACGCCGGCGTACAGCCGAGGTCGGAACAAAAGACCGGATACCGCGATATATGATTTAATATTACAGTTGACATTAACGAAGTAAACCGAGATGGATGATAGGTGTTATGTACTCGGATGTATGTAACACGTTTAAACAATAAAGCTATTGCTAAATACTGTGAGATTTGATATTTCAGGAGGAAGTATGGATAGTGCTGGACGAGAAAGTGAAATTCCAAGAGATGAATAAACTAGAGAAGTAGACCTAGAAGTAGTACCTAGACAACTGCTATCGGTGGATTTAGGAAAATACAAACGCTCCGTATCTTTATTGCATTCCGTGCGACTCGCGAGAGTACAGATACACGCTTCCTTACATCGTAAATTACACGGCCCCGTAAAGCTACGTTAACTAACAAAATAATAAAATTCAGTCACATAATACTGTTCATTGAAATGCATAACAAAAAATAAAATATCGCTTAACGTCGCATATAGAGAACCGTTTACAAAAATATCCTTCACGATTGGATAAAGTCTCTAGCTGAACTTTTCTCAATTATTTAGGCATCGACATACTCCATCCTATAAAACTGTGTTGGCTCGGTATCGAAGAACAACTCGTACCATAATAAAGTAAAAGTCAGTCATATAACCATGTTTCCATTTAAATGATTTTACGGAAAAGAAAAGAAAAATTGGCTTCCCGGTGTCACTTCTTCGTCATCAACTACAGCACCTGGCTGAGTTTCGTTCACAACTTACTGCCGACTTAATCTATCTCGATGACTTCGGGTGAAGTATTGATTCTCTCTGTTAAAGGTACATGTGATTCGACCAAGCAATCTATCTCCCCCACAAGGCTGCGATTAGGAGTCGTGCCCGAAATGGTTGCCATAATTGTTACTTCGGAATCACTTTTGCCTGGTACATTCCGTGATTCGGCAGCAAAATTTTGCGTTTGCTTATTACATATCTTGTCGATTACTTCCGATATATTGGCTTCGCCGTCTTCATAATCGGAATTAAAGTCTTCGGGTGTCAACTTGTTATACATCGTCTCCAAGGTACTGTCTAATTTATTCCTCTGCTCCGTTGCGAGGACTTTTGCAACCCGGGGATTTTGTTTCCTTGTTAACGCACCTTCACAAGATGTATGAAAATACTCGGACAACAGTGTTTGGTGGCTGACCTTTTGTCTGGACCTTTCGGGGTAACTACTTGATTCTTCAACTGCCGGAGCAACTATTTTGAATCGTCCCATTCTTCGCTTTTTAGGTTTGACATTCGACGATTTCTGTGCTTCAGCTGTTTTGGATCTTTTCCCGGAGTTTCTAAACTTTTCAACCAGGTCAGGATAACAACGAGAAATGTGTATCTGGGGCTCAGTAGTGACTAGGTCATCGGACGTTTTCGAGTTACTTATGGCTTCATTTTCTACATTTTCAGTATTGAATATACCAGGAGGTATAATAGCAGAACTCTTTTTCCATACGATGTCGTAACTCGCCACGCCCTTTACATTCTTGGTGTTTCTTATGCACTCTGGCTCTAAATTTCTAGTTATTAATTGTCGTTCTTCGATTGATAATTCTGAGGCGCGCAATAGTTGCCAACGTGTAACCAATGGAAAGATCATAGAAAGTGAATATTTTCCTGGCCAGCCTAGTTGACGTCTCATCAAATTCTACAATACAATGTTTCATTATCACTGACAGAAATTCCTACACTATATACCTGTTAATATGTATTACATAGGGAGAACATACTGTAAATTCTAGTATCTGAGGTTCATGCCACTCAAGATCTAAGTCAGAAGGAACCGGATCTTTCCGGATTAGAAATTCGTTGATGAGTTCCTGATTGGGGAAATTTTCTACGCCAATAGCTTTTTTTCGCAAAGACACTTCATTCATTACCAACTCCTTGGTTCCTCTAGAAAGTTATAAACATTTTTAAAGAAGCATTATTTATCAAATCATTTAAATCAACTTAGATCTTACAGTGAACTCACTTGAAAAGTGTACTACACTTTTCTGTGGTACCGCACTCTTGACATCCTGATTTTGCATGTACTCGAAGTTTTCCTCTGTGTCCACAGGAAGGGCACAGATTGCCATTGTTTAAATCATTCCCTAATCTAGCAAGTTTATCGTCAGTCCTCCAACTTTTTAACCTTTAAATAAATACAATTTATTTGTTTTATAGAATTCAAACGACTTCTCACAATAATATGATTAGTTAAACAATATCTACCTGTCTAATATATCTTCTTCCTTAACGAATCTAAATAATTTTAAAGCCGCCTCCTTTCCTACTCTAGTTAACCCTTCATCATAATCACAACCACATAAAAGCGCCAATGCTATCATCTGTTTTCTGCCCAGACCAAGTACTCGCTCGATCTTTTCCATCTTATAAGTATCTACCGACCCATTCCCAGAGAATCGATTACCAGTATCACTCGTGCAAAAATTGCGATAGACTACTCTAGCACCGTATAAAAAACAGTCACTGTCTTGACTAACACAACCGTCGACAAGCTAGATTAATAATCAGGCACAAATTTAACTTTATATTAGCAAGTTTCCATTTGGAGGTTAAGTAAACTTACTCCATCCTCATTTAAATGCGCACACAGAGCTTCGGCCTCTCCATGACTACGAACACAATGAAGTCCCATATATCTTAACATCTCTTCGCATTCTGTGAGTACGGCATCCAATCGACCGCGCTTTCCATTGTTAACTATCATCTTTCCTAAAGTAACACGGAGTCTCTTGGCTATAGTTTTTTGCTTCAAATCGGGTGGTCTACCATCCAAGACAAAAACTGGCATAATTCCGTGCAGAAGTAACCATGAAGCGCGACAATAAAGATTCCTACAAATAATTTTGTCAACAGAATGTCAACTCCTAAAACATGTAATTTACCTGAGAAACATTTTATTATTATTTTGTACAGAGGCATCCATCACCGTTTGACTAGCAACAACCCAGCCGCTCAAGTCAATTGCAATTGCTTTGCCATGCAATTCAAATAACGGCATTCTCTCTGACATTGAGGCCAAAATATTCCAAAGATGTTTTACGCCCATTTTTTCTAACTTTATGTCTACCTGATGATAAACATTTTAATATTCTTACTTATGAAACATACGAAACCAAATACGTGAAAGCTTATTGATTCTGAATCAGGAATAGTTATTGTAAGATACTTTGTACATATCTCAAAATGTGTATAAATATTTTTCCCACGTGCCTGAGATAACCTGACCTAACAATCTCAATGGTGGTAAACCGATGTCAGTTCTTCCTTCTTTCTTCGTTTAATGCAGTTTAATGGATTTCGACGTAGTGGTTCGAGCTCAGTACGCACTAACGATCAACCGATGCCAGTTCAAAATGAAATCAACTAAGTGCGCTCAGAATGTAATTCGTTAAATGCGTTCAAAAACTCACTGGAAGTAGCAGTAGTGGGGTATTTTAACCGAGATACGGTATTTGATTGGCTCATTCCAATGTACCAGACGAATGACTGAATAATCTTTCTTTGCACGAGATAAACGTATAAGAACAGGGGGTCTATTACGTAAAGTAAATTGAGCGAAAATGTGAAAAATGAGTAACTCACGATATTACGGAAAGTTTTTGGTGGTGAGAATGCGAGACCATTCATATGAATTGACTCGGCACAAATTTTTAAGCGAAATGGTGAAGCATAGACTCGAGTTCTCTTCTTTACTTTTACCGGCTTTTCATCTTCCGGCCATTCCTGCCTATAACACACTACCTCACAACAATTTTCAATTTACAAAGTATCTACCTTTATTTAACAATATTACTAGACCGGAAATGCTAGTGATCTCGTTCTTTCATATAGCGAATACGTAATTCGGCAAACAAACCCACGTGAGATGAAAGTGCGAGAAATGAGCGCTCTCGTCAAAAATACGTAATAAACGTCCAGAGATGAGTTGGGAGTATCGATGAGGAGGATCCCTGAATTGGGTCACCATTGGGGGGTATTAGGTGGCAGGGGCGTTGGCCGTCCATATCCTCCACTGGGCGACAGCACAGGCTGCGATCGCGCGACCTTGCCCGTGAGCAATCTCCAAACTCATCTCTGTCAAATCAGAGATGAGTTGAGAGATTCACGGGAAAGATCGAGCGACCGCGTCCTGTGCGACCTCCGGTGGACGATGCAGACGGCTAATGCACTTGCCACCCGTTACACCTCTGGGCAGCCCGAGAACCGGCTGAAAAAGTGATGAACTCCTCACAAAAACTCCAAACCCTGTGTCTCCTCCGAAAAAAATCGCAGCCACTAGCTCGAGAGACCAATTTAAACGGAACAACCTTCCCCATCAAGCTACTGTGGACGCAGTTCGCATCGCGAAAAAAATTCACGTCACTCGTCATTAGACGTCGTCCAATCACGAGTGGATTACTCGTGGATTACCATCACGAATACGTGAGCCGCCAACGGCGACTGGTAGATGGCACGGCTATCGCGAGTGCGCGAGCCCCTACCAGAAATTCGTTACGCCACACTTGGGGGCAAAAAACAGTGAAAGCTCATGGATGAAACCAGAGGGCAGCACAGCATGCTATCGCACGACCCTGGTCGTGAGTAATCTCCCAACTCATCTCTGATATACCATACCAACACAGTTACCGAGCTCACAAGTATACGATGCGTTACTGCTCACGGTTGTAGAACGTGTCATTTTTATGATTTGGGAGATATTAATTCCGCAATCGAAGAACTCGATGCTTTGCTTGAGGAGAAATAGAAGACTCTTGAGTAATTTATTTTCCTCTTGTAAGTGGCGTAAGTGCTGTGATCTATTTCAAATTTGTCATTCTTCGGATAACCTAACTAAATGTGTTTATTTACTTACGTTACATTCGATTTATTGTAAGTAAAGCCTTGATTTTTTAATCCGTCTCTTCTTCTTTCTCGTAAAGATTTTAATAGTCACTGTGTAACTCCAATCATGGAGGAGAAAATTAGCCATAATGAACCAATGGTAATTGAAAATAATAAGAGGCCTGCTCCGGAAGAAAATAATGAGAATCTACCTAAGAAACAAATGACAGAAATGATAAGGGTTAAGAGAAGGAATTACGCATTGTTGTTGGCCTATCTTGGAAAGAATTACGCTGGAATGCAGAGAAATCCTGGTATGAAGACAATCGATGAAGAATTGATAAATGCTTTGTTAAAAGCTGATTTAATTACCAATGAAGCTTTTGATATGATTCAAACTATACAATATCAAAGGGCTGCTCGCACAGATAAGGGAGTCTCAGCTGTTAGGCAGGTGGTCTCTGTCAAATTGCGTAAGATACAAATTTTTGGCAATAAAGTAATAAATATATCAATCATTCATTTCATTACCCTTTTAGAAATATTTTAAATATTTACATACCTTGCTAGATTGACTTTAATTTAATCCTCCATTCTTACAGCTGAAAACGTGTGTAAAAATGTCCTAAATGGATTCCTTCCGGATGATATTAAAGTTTTTGGAATAAAGCGTGTTACGAAAGGATTTAATAGTAAATCTCACTGCAGTGGTAGGACTTATACATATACGTTGCCAACGTATTCTTTTGCACCCGAATCTAGCAACATACCGCCACGAGATGTTGACATAGATGCAAGAATGAAAGAATTATTGACTATCGATGGCAAGCCACTACAAGAGTATCGTATATCAGCCGATATTATAGCTAGAATAGTGTCTTCCCTGAAGATATACGAAGGAACGCATAATTTCCATAATTTTACATCAAAAGTGTAGGTATCTTTGGAAAAGTAAATTCATCGAATTGAAATTATCAGCAATGTATTATCCTCAGGAAACCATTAGACCCTCGCGCTCAAAGGTACATCATCGAAACGTCTTGCTCCGAGCCATTTATATCCGATTCCATGGAGTTTATAACTTTAGAAATTAAAGGACAGAGCTTTATGCTCCACCAGATTAGGAAAATGGTAGCCTTAGTGATATCAGTGGTGAGAAATATCATCAGGGAAGAAATCATAAGCGAAGCGTTTACACCGCCAAAATTAGATCTTCCGATGGCACCTAGCTTAGGCTTGGTCTTGCAAAGAGTGAGAACTCCTTCCTCAGTCTCCAATACCAATTTCTTCCGGAACAGAACTTTCATCCTTGACATTTTAGGTTCATTACGACGGATACAACAAAAGGTATGGCTCCGATGGGATCCACGAGACTTTAGACTGGACCGAGTGCGACGAGGAGATCACCAAGTTCACGAAGGATTACATTCTGAAACACATCACAGAGACAGAGAAACGCGAGAATGCGTATCCTTTTTCACTTTATTGACACACTTCCCATGATTTTTCAAGGCTCTAGTTTCCAATAAACCTATCGTAACCCCTTAACGAAATTCCATCCAGGATACTGAGTTGGCTGGCGACGTTGCCGAGCCACAAGTTTTCCGTCCGAGAGGAACGCGAGGAACGAGAGGAACCAACGGACGATTGATCCATCGTTTACCAAGAAATACCCCAATCCAAAAGCCTCGGTTGTACGAAATTAGTCTCCTCGGCTAATTGATATTTTTAAATAAAATTCCCGTCTCCAAACACCAGATTAACCGTAAACGGGAGACCCAGTCGAGGAGTAAATCATCGAAATCGTTTACTCCAAGGATAGAGTTTTCCATAACGACCGTTACGGCCGATTAGCCCAATATTGACTCAAGAAAGCAGCTGTCGCAACATATCGTCACCGAGTTTGCGATCCACCCGCGAAATGGGCGCTATCTCCAACCGCGTGCGGCGAAAGACAGGTTGCGTCTCACAATTGGCAGAAGGAATTATCCGGTTTACGGATTCGTGAGCTTTCGTAACGACGCGCTCCCGCCGGGCGCGCACATGTGTACACATGTGTGCACACGTGTACACGCGGCTTTCTACACGGGAATAGAGCCGAGTCGTGAATAGAGATGTGTGGAGGATTGTTCAGTGCGCAGCCAACGGCCGAGCGCTCGAGATCAGCTCCACTCCGTGGTCGTCGGACCGTGACCCTACGATGAAGATTGCCCACGATGCGACAATCGCACTTGTGATAATCTCCGGTGAGTCGAGTCGCACCTTTCGCGATCGCTCCTCGGATCGCTGTTCCTCGGCGTCGCGACTTCCGCCTTCCGCCTTCCGCCTTCCGCCTTCCGTCTCGTAAGGAGCGACTAATCGGCCGCGGAAGAAAAACACGAGGGAAAAAAACGGTCCCACGGGTCAGGGAAATGTCACTCCCCGCGCCTCGTGGAAACCGACCCGATACGCACTAGCTCGATCCTCTGGGCTTTCGGGAACCCATCCAGGGAATTCCGACGCGATTGTGGAACAAGGAAAAGCACGTGTTATCGAGCCTACGGCCGGATTTGCCCATGACGCGCGAACCGATCGGAACGGATGCCGTCTACTTGGAAAGTAACGAGGAATCCCCACCCTGCGTGACGAGTCTGGCGGGGGTTTGAAGAATTTTTCAAATCCAGGCACTCCCTGGGGCGAAACCCCGAAGCGTTGCACCTCGCCCTGCGGATTCCTGCGGACGCCTTGTTTTCAAGTGAAGCTGCTTTCCGTGTACGCGTCACTTTGACGCGCGGACCTCGCTCTGCATTTTCATCCAAATTATTGACCGTTAAATATTCATTTTCAGTTTTTCTTAACGTTGCGCCGATTGCCCTGGGTCGTCCAGAATGATCTTGATCTCGAAGGTTCTCGCTTTCGCATACTAATCTTTTTAATTATTCACTGTGCCAGGTGCATCGTTGACGTGAGGAAATGTAGAGCGAAGTCTGCGCTTCAAAGTGGTACATAACGTGGACACGAGGGAAAGAACTTGATTTGAAAACAGGACGTTGAATGTTGAACGGCAAAGACGGAAACAACTGGCTGGGCGAGCTAATTTTCTCTTCTCCTTAATTTCACTCCTCGGGATTTTTCGCGAAAATGCGGACCAGAAGAAATGCGTCGCCTCTTTCCTCGTGGATACTCTGGTGTTAGTAAAAACAAAAGGGGAATTAAAAAACGAACGAAACGGTAGCGCCAGGTAGCGCGTTGCGATTGCTCCGGACCAGAAGAACCGGTTGAAGCGCAGTGTCCTTGAACTCGCTCGCGCAAAGAGCAAAACATGTATATAGACCGTACGCAAATATCGATTGTACGTTATCTCAAGGGAAAAGAACGTTTCCGCAGACAAGTTGGAGATCTCGAGCGGGACGAGACGCTTTCCGGGTCCGGGGACGTTACGAGGGCTTGATTCGAGCGTTGCGCATTCTGGTCTTTGGGTTTAGACCAATCTGATGCGATGGTTTTGGTTTGTCTGTCGAATTTAGTTCTCCTCGAGCCCGGTCGTGCCAGAGACTCTCAGGAGGACTTCTCCCGGTTCGGAGGGAACCGATCGAACTGCAAGTGAGGGAACATCAGATTTCGTAAACCTGCTCGAAGGACGATTCGTGCCCCGATCGATGACAAAAACATTGTCCAAGCGCGAAAAGTACTCCCGATACGTACGGATTTACTAGCATGCCCCAAACTGCTAAATGATCACGGACGATTTTTACGACCCAATTTTAATCCAAGTAAAAAAACATGATAACAGAAGTCACGAGTAATCGTGCACTTCCTCGCGGATACTAAACGGAATTTGCATGAATTTATCGGGTCCTTCCAGCAGGGATCGATCGCCCAGCGAGAAGTCATCGTGGCATTTGTGGCATTGGACTGCTCGTCTTATTCTCGTCCAATGCTCGATTCCTCGCTGGGTATCGCTTCCACGGCAAATTGGATTAGTCCTTAACGCCTGCACGCCTCAGTTCTCTACAGTTCTCGTGTAAAAACGGAGAATGCATAGACAGCGACAGGCTTTGCGACGGTCGAGCGGACTGCCGGGACAGATCGGACGAGACCAGCGAGGAGTGCACCAAGCCAGGATTCTACTGCCCGGAGTATGCATTCCGTTGTAATTACGGAGCCTGCGTGGACGGGGATGCACCGTGCAACAAAGTGAGGGACTGCGTCGACAACAGCGACGAAACCCTGCCGAGGTGTTTCGGCTCCTCTTCCTCGGGAGGAGGTTCCTCTTCGGGAGGGGATTCCGATATAGTATTCCCGACGGGCTGCTCCCAGCATCAGGTCAAATGCGACAACGGCCAATGCATCGATGCCGTTGCGCTCTGCGACGGTGCCAGGAACTGTTCGGATGGGTCCGACGAGTCGTCCAGTCGATGTTCGACCAACGTGTGAGTATACGGACACCAGGGATTTTCGAAGATATAACCTAGAGCGGTGGCTGGAGCGGTTCGCCCGGGTCGCGCGGACTCCGAGAGCAAAGAAAAATCGGGACGCATTATCTTATCGAGTCTTGGGCTTCGTCTATCTCCTCGAGGTCCATACTCGTACACGGGGATCCCTCCATCTCCGTTTTCTTTTTTCCCCCATGGTCTCTGGGCCCATCCGTACCCAGGACCGGCGTCGTTCCTAACTGGCCAAGGGCCCTACCGCCGTCCTTTCCTCTTCTTGACCCTTGGACTCGTCCTAACCCAAGCTTCGACATCATTCTCGACTGGTACCGAGCCGATGACTGCCGTATGCCTTTTTCTTCGCTTCCTGGTCGTCGGACTCGTCTTTGCTCGGAATGACTGGCACCTAGCTGACCGTTTCGCCTCCAAGATTTCACCCTACGGCAGGGACTCAGCCGCGGATTCAACAGTTGTCCCCAGGTGGTGTTCCGCTGCAAGTACGGCGCTTGCGTAGACGGCGACAAGGCGTGCGATGGGCGCGAAGACTGCGCCGATGGATCCGACGAGGCCCCGTCCCTCTGCAGGAAGCCGACGACCACGACCCAGAGATCAAGACCGTGGACACCTACGCACTCCTACACCCAGCCGACCAGGCGAACGACCAAGGAGCCATCCAGAGGCACTACCTTGCCATCGACCTGGCCCTTGAAACCGAGACTGCCCTGTCGCGTTCCCGAGCAGCCCAGAAATGGAAGGTGGCGGCTGCACGCCGCTCAGTGCCAAACCGACCATCCTTGCACGGTGCCCAGCGAGGTGAGGTCCTTCGATCCTGGAACCACGTTGATCTACACCTGCAACCGGAACCACAAGCCGAGGGAACCCGTCAACGTTATCTGCGGCCCCGAGGGAAAATGGCTGAACGTCCCGAATTGCACCGGTGAATACCGCAAGGACCTTCAACGAAATTCGGGTGGACGGATAAATTAGGCGCTGATCCTTCGTTTCTCATTATCGTTCACAGAGATCACCTGCAAGCCACTTGGTTCGGCTTCCCTGGACGCGTCCTGCACGTACGAAGGGTCCTACGCGTCCTGCGACACCCACGTGAGGCCCAGGACCATCGCCTCGCTGAGCTGCTGCAACAGCTACCAAAAAGACACGTCCTTGTTACCGACCCACAGAAACATCGTCACCTGCAACGAGAACGGCGAATGGGAGCCGGAGCCCATTAGATGCGTGCCAGGTCCGGTGATCGTCAGCGTGAATATCGAGAGTGGAGCGGTAGAGATACGTCCCGGAGCGAGGAACAACTGTACCGGCTCCACTTTCGTCGAGATACACGAGGACAGGGTTATCGTTTACACCCGACAGCGGATAAGCGATAAGCCCGGGGAAGACGTTCGGATTTCCCTTTCGGACAAGACCGGAGATCTGTCCTATGCGGCTCCCGTCTGGAATTGACGCAAGGGCGCGGTCTCGACGTCAAAGCCAAACGGGAGTCCGGCCGGACCGTGATTCACGCGAGTCGGAAAAATGGCGCTCTAGGCGCTTTTCTCTTGCCATAGATCGAAAGCTGATACCAAAAGAACACCCGTGCATAAGTAATAAATAACCAGGGATAGATAGAGTTAGCCTTAGCCTTCTTCTTGGGAAATGTTTAGAGTCGTGGCATAAGCTCGGAGAGACTAGGATGCGCGGTGACGAGTCGATTCAAAATTGCGGCCCTGGAGTTGAAGACGGTACCAAAATGGCGGCTCCTCTCTCGCGCGTCTTTTATCCAACTTGTCATGCCGCCGCGTTCGAGGACGTTGACGAGTTACCACGTTTTCCTCGATAGACGATAAAGGGCATCGGTAGCACTCCTCGTGTAGTTCCTGCGAAGGTAGGGGATAATTTAAACGAGCCTCTAAATAAACGTTTAGACTTGCCGTTTGCTTGGTGGAGCGATTCCGCGGCAAGCTGCTGCACCGCGCCAAGTCCAAAATGCAAGGCTTTCGTATGAAATGATTTTCGTGAACAATTTCGCGATTTTTTTGCACTAACGATCGGGTACGTACCAGAGGGAGGACCTTCTTTAACCGTCCACGAGGCGTCATCCTTGCCCTGCCAATCGGCTGACCTCGCAGGTAAGCGTATCCACGCGAGCTGCAAAACGAAAGGTCTGTATCGTGTGTTGCAGTATGCGGCGTAATGCCCGCGAGGACGACCCCCTTTATCGTGAACGGCAGCACGCCGGATATCTCCGATTTCCCCTGGCACGCCACCCTCTACAGGGTCGACCGAAGGGGCGGCAAAAAGAAATTCATTTGCGGAGCGACCGTCATTCAGAGCAACCTCTTGGTCACCGCGGCTCATTGCGTCTTCGACGAGAACACCAAGAGGGTCAGGGACCCGAAGCGGCATTACATATTGACAGGGAACATCTTCCGGGATTACGACGACCCGTCGCACAACCCGCGGGTGGTTCAACGAGCCGAGGTGACCGAGGACGCCCCTTGCGGAATATCTAGAAAAATAACACCCGTGCCGTTTGCACAGCCGGTGCTCAAGTTGGTTTGCCTTCCAGGTGAAGAACATTTACATCAACTGCAGATATCTCGGCGTCTCCGGTAACTACGCCTGGGATATCGCCATCATCGAGATCTCGCGGCCGTTCGTTTTCTCTGCCTTGCTGGTTCCCATCTGCCTGGACGTCGCCGGTGACACCGACAGAATCGCCCTTGAGGTCGGCAGCTATGGCAAGGTCGCTGGCTTCGGCAGGACTGCTCTCGGGGAGACCAGTGCCATTTTGCAGTACATCACGGTACCCTATGTGTCCATCAATCAGTGCAAATCTGCTGGCAGTGCTCTGGACAGCGACAGATACATCACGATGGACAAATTCTGCGCTGGATACACGAATGGTCAGTGGGAGCACCTGCGAAGGGTCGTCGAAGAGCGATCAGGTGTTACTTTGGGATCGCTGTGATTATAAGTGGCATTTTACCTTCAGGTACATCCGTCTGTGACGGCGACAGCGGAGGTGGATTTGTAGTCAAGACTAAGGATCTCTGGTTCTTGCGTGGAATCGTGAGTGCCGGTATCGGCCAAACGTTGGAAGGTGGAACGACGGCTTGCAACAGTTTCACCTACTCCCTGTACACGAGGGTCTCCGACCACATGGCTTGGATACAAGATATAATACTCAAGTTAGAATTAAATAAGCCCATCCCGGCTTGTCCTAATAATTCGTAAGTCTTTTTATACCGTTCTGACGAATAAATCGGTTGGTTTGTGTCGAGGTCCTTTATTGTCGACGTTTCGTTTCGTCGCGTGGCGGATGATAAGGTGTAATTATTTGTACATTTACATAACATTGACGTAATTCATTCAGCACGAGATTACTTCAATTGTAGCTTTGACGACTCGCTCGATAATGGAACGATGTTAAACTAAACAATGCTGTTACGAATAATAAAAGAGGTTTAATATTGCCGGAGTCGAATGGGAAAAGTTAGAGTAGGTAAGGATTTGTAAAAGCTAGGACCATATGAGTGAGCTGACGTCGACTATCGATTCGCTAGGACTGGTGTGATTTCAAAGGCTGCTTTTTATAGCTAGAAAACACTGAATCTGTAAGAAAAAATTTACAATGTGAGCCGTTTGAACTTGTATACAGTAATTTGGACATTGTTATTTTATTTTAATTCATTGCAGATGTAACATACCTTGAATATTTAAAGCCTTCAAATCTTCTGGGAGATTCGGTATCTCGGTTGGTCCTCTTCGAGGTTTAGGCTTATCTACGAATTCATCTGGTAGGTCAGGCAATACCGATACACGTCGAGTTGAAATATCTGGTGGAGGTGGTCCAGTAAATTTGGAGGAAATCTCGTCGACAAACAGTAATTCGGCTAATTCGTTTTCTAAGTCCTCGTCGTAATCAGGACTCGACAGTGGTTTGGATATTTCATCTTGAATGTCACTTAAATCTTCTAGGACCTGAAAGTTTGATGATAATAGTAGTTAGGGTTGAACAAGAATAACTAAAAAGATAGGAAAATGTGTACGTACTTCGGAAATGTTGTCCATTGTGTTTTTGATGTGATCATCCGATAATCCACTTTCTTTAACAGTTTGTAAAATCTTGCAACCGTCTCTGAAAGCATCCACAATTTCTGCATCTGTACGAGCATCATGAATTCTAGCTATTAACGTTTGGACACTGTTCAATGTCTGTGAACGTTTTGCCATCCTCTTCTCTATTTCTTTTCGTTTCCTAAGCCAGCTTCTTGCTACTTCTCGCAATCCTTTTGTCAAAGAGCTCTTTGCTTTTTTTGTGATATCATTCCTAGTATCTTCCAGCTGCTCTAAGTCTTTTATTAAAAGTTCCTCCTGCCTAGTCAGTTTGTACAGACCCTCTTCGACTTCGGTAAACCCATCTATGCCATATAAGGATAACTTGACAATCAAATTTGGATCCATTAATTCTGAATTATTTCGGTATGCAGCTTTTCTAATGCTTTTCAACCAAATTAAAGCTAATTTAACACTGTCTTTTGTTAAATTTTTATTATCTGTTTTTTGTACACAATTTTTAACGATGTCACCAATAGGTAAAATGCTGGTCTCTTTCTTATCGTCGATTGTGGATAGTATTATATCACCCAATTTTTTTACCATTCTCAGGTGTACATATTTAACTTCTTTATTTATTGTATCGTTGGACGCCAAACCTACTGTCTTGTTGTAGAACCAAGTTACCGGTCCTTTGAGTTTGTTCACGGCCCAATTGGTCCAGGACTCGTTACAGTCTTTTATAAAGTCATCTTCAAGAACAATTTCTCTGTTCCTGTATGAAAAAAATATATTCTATATACATTGTCATTATAGATATAAAAAATATAACAAATTGATAGCAGCTTCAATTTACTTGTAAAGTTCTTGCATGACAGATGGCAGACATAGCGGTACTCTGTCATTCCTCTTGAACGCAGTACTTAAATCATAGATCGAAAAACTACATCTCATAGTGTAAGAGAGCCAGTCCCATATCAGTCCTTTCCAAAATGAGAACTTTGAGTCCCAATCTTGAATATTCGCAACGCGGTTTCGAAACTGTGCAAACAGTACGTTCATTCTCTCGTCATCCTTCCAGCATTCTGGCATTTTGTTAAGAGGTAGAGGCAAATCATTTGCCCCGCTTTCGCTTAAACCCGTACTTCTGTTTTCCATCTTCTTAGAATATCCTCAACAGTTAAATCATATTATAAACATTTGATGTGATGAGCCACAAAAAGAGACCGGATACATTGTAGAATTAATTTCTTAGATCTCATTTAAAGAAATGTTGAGCTACGAGTATGTAAATTTATATGCAAATTCGATCCTATTTCACCTTATAATTGCTCCAGGAAAGTTCTACCACCTTAAATGTTAAGTCACACCCGTCCAGGCCGGATTCGCAAGGCTTACAAAAATAACCATTTAACGAGGGCTACAATATCACAACGTCGTTTCCTTCATACTACACTTATGAAAATTATTCTTTAAAAGTTTCTTTGGCTATACACTCCAGAGATGAGTTTGGAGATTGCTCGCAGGCAAGGTCGCGCGATCGCAGCCTGTGCTGCCACCCAGTGGATGATATGGACGGCTAACGCACCTGCCACCTAATACCCCCCAATGGCGACCCAATTCAGGGATCCTCCTCATAGATACTCCCAACTCATCTCTGGACGTTTATTACGTATTTTTGACGGGAGCGCTCATTTCTCGCACTTTCATCTCACGTGGGTTTTTTTGCCAAATTACGTATTCGCTATATGAAAGAATGAGATCACTAGCATTTCCGGTCTAGTAATATTGTTAAATAAAGGTAGATACTTTGTAAATTGAAAATTGTTGAGAGGTAGTGTGTTATAGGCAGGAATGGCCGGAAGATGAAAAGCCGGTAAAAGTAAAGAAGAGAACTCGAGTCTATGCTTCACCATTTCGCTTAAAAATTTGTGCCGAGTCAATTCATATGAATGATCTCGCATTCTCACCACCAAAAACTTTCCGTAATACCGTGAGCTACTCATTTTTCACATTTTCGCTCAATTTGCTTTACGTAATAGACCCCATCGTAATAGAATCCCTTTCAAATAATTCCACATGGGGCGGGGCTTAACCGCAAGGCGTGACGGATCTTTGCGACCGACGTGGAGTTAGTTGCTAGCACTCCATGGATTTATAATCAAAACTTCGAAATGTCTCGAGAATATTGTTGCGTAGAATCGAATAAAATAGCTGCAATTCTCGATAACTGACAGAAAGGGAGAAAGAGAGAGAGAGAGCGAGAGAGAACGAGAGAGAACCGTTAACAAAGGTTTCTGACTTTTGACAAGGTACAACACGTTACAAAGTTCAGGCGTGTCAACGTGTACTTTACATTTCTAGGGAACAGGTTATAAGTTCATAAATGAATAATCATTGTTGGCGGAATGCACCGATCCAGACAAGCCTCGAGGACGACGCAGTATGGCCAGAACTTTGCAGGGAGAGGAAACCTGTGCGGAAAAACTCCTCTGGATGGGAAATGTCAAGAGCCACTGGAAATGACAGTGTGGGAGATAGAGTAACAAAGGCAAGTGGAAGGACCGAGGAAAATAATTCAGAGTTTCCAGTCCTTCGAGAGACCATGGCAAGAGGTAGACGGAAATCCTTTGTGATACACCCAACAACAGAGGATATTTTCTTATTTGCCGATGAAATGAAAGAGAAGGCTAAAACGCCATGGAGGAGGAGGCCGAAAAGAACCGACCGGATATGCATCGATCTTCGGGAAGCTTTAGAGGTAAGTACAGTTTATCATTGAACCATTACCAATGACTGCAAAGTTTAAAGATAACCGAAGAAAGCTTATTTAGTATTCCTAATTTATTTCAGAATCACGACTATCTTATGAGGATTCAAACCGACGATTGCAAAAAGATCAGGATAAACGTTTGCAGACTTAAACTTGACCCACTAAAGGACTGTGCCATGGGGTACTTTCCACCAGGACGAATGAAACATGGTAAACTTTATATAGAAAAGGTGAAGAGACTATCCAAGTTGAAGCAGGCAATCATAGAGGATCGAAAGAGAAAGAAAAAAGAATTCTTTGAGTCGGGAAAGTGCAACGCAATAACAAGGGACATTATTCCACTAGATTTGAGCAAGCTAAAAATCGAGCCTGACCCCAATGTAGACATAAATATAGTTCAAGATCTGAACTCACTAACACTGTATAGTTCAAAGGACTGGAGGCCACAACCTGAAAATCTGGACGAACGCTTTGAATTTACCCTCGATATCGCTAATTCGCTGAAAAACTTAATAATAAATGACGGTAATAAACAAAATGTTAAGTGCTACCAAATGGATGGAAACGAAGATAAAACCTGTGTAGATCTGATCGGTAGAACACTATGCTTAAACATTTCCGATGGTATCGATATGATACAGCCTAATCAGGGAGACGTTATAAAGCACTCTAAACGATTTAGAGAGTAAGTATAAGGTTTCTTCGTGAATAAAATTACCATTTTATTTATTTTGATAATAGCATCAGTGATAATTGAAACAAATTCTACTACTGTGAGAGAGGTATAATTGAATAAATGGCTTTTAAAAAAAAGTCACTGTGTATTTTATGCTAATCGCTGTGATTTTACTGATCACCAGTATTGTTTTATAAAATTATAATATGATTTTGTGGTACAATAGATATAAAATATTTGGAAGAGTAGAATTTACTTATAGTGTTAAGCAGTCCAAGTTTCAAATCAAAATATTTCCAGATACTGTACTAACACGTTATCTCCAGTCCTGGATGCAAGCCTGGACGTATTTCTTGCAAAGATTACAAGCCTTCAAAAAAAGTTATACGAAAGGAACAACATCAAAGGAAGGTGTAAACGCAGATACTATGCTGGGATCAGAGAAACAGAGAAACACGTGAAACTGAATAAAGTCAAATTCGTTGTCATAACACCTGACATGGAAAAGATAGAAGCAGAAGGTTTGTCCTCCACTAAAATCTAAGTTCAATTAAACGTTGCACTCTTTACAACCCCTATAATTAATAATTTATTGCAGGAGGTCTTGACGATGCCGTGTACAGATTAATCGATAACTGCAAAAATCATGCGATCGCCTTCTGTTTCGGACTCGATAGAAGAAAATTAGGCTACCTTACTCATGGGAGAGGCCTCGTCAGCTGTATCGGCATAGTGGATTACAGCAATGCCATGGTATGTATTAGTATCCTGAAAATTCTCATGTAAAATTAAATCAACATACATGAAATTAATTACAGGAAGAATTGAGAGTATTGCTCGAGGAAGTGGTACGGGTAAAAAATAAGTACCAACGATTGAAAGGACACGCAGACAAAGTGATTAATTTGCAATCGATACTGTCAGGTACTGATTTACTCTTAACCGAGGTGCTGAATACTCTCCTGAAAATTTTAGCGTCCACTTGAAATTAAATAAACGTAAAATATATCCACCGAAGGTGCAGCAAAGGTATAATTATTTCGACCGGCGTTCTTGCATTGACACGTCGAGGAGTTCCAGCGAAGGAGATGGCCAGAATTATGTTGATCCATCAAAGTAGGTAACGGTATTGTGTCGAACCCAGCACTAATCGAAACGAAGAAAACGCGTTATTTCCGCTGTACCGTAGTGACGGCTCTTCGACCTCTAACAGCGCTATCGCGCCAAAGCATGGGAGCGGCGTCTTGTGGACGCAACAATGGTGTCTGACTTCCGAGAGGAAGCGTCTTGTTGCCAATGAATAGGCTAGGGTGTTTCCCCTGACCGATTTTCTGCGATTTCGTTCCAACGGAACGAAGTGGATTAAACATACCTCGGATAATGAGTTAAGTCCAGTTCAGGCAGATTAGCGGCTAGCAGCAACCAATGAGCGAAGTTTATTTTTCATGGACATACAGAATTCGCTTCGCTCATCGGTTGTTGCAAACCTCTTATTCGATCTTCGTCGCTCCGTCATTTGTCGCTACAGCGCAAGGTAATATCGGACTACATTTCCATCATACTCTTAAATCCGGGATTTATCGAGTTCAGACCCATTAAATCGCAAGCCTCTCTCTCATTGACTACGTCTCCATCGTACTCAATCCGGGATTTATTCAGTCCAGATACAGTAAATCGCATGTCTCCCTCACATTAATAATTACGCAGATTTGATCCCGAGTGTCTCGATCGACACCTAAATTCGGATTTATTGAGGCAATAAAGTATATAGTAAATCGGAACGCTAACCCAAGGATCCTGTAATGGGGCTCGGGCTGACACGTTCTCGGCCGAGCCAAGAGGTGGCGCCACGGTCCCCGCCAACAACCCGACGTTGCATCGACGGAGCGTCTCGCTCGTGACACCGGTGACACCGGCCTTGGACGACGGACGTGACGCGGGACGTTTCGGTGCTCTTGGTCCGGACGAGACTCCGGACGCGCGATGATCCTCGACGGCCTCGAGTCGAAGAGAGCAAGTAGGATAAGTATTCGTTAAAGGAAAGGGCGCCCGATGGGCGCACGGCAAAGAAATGGCGTTGCGTATCGCGTTGGCAAAGGGCGGACGATTCTCGAGAGGAAAGGTCGAAAGAGCCTCGCGAAACGCACCGACAGAATTTCAATTCGATATAAGATAAAGTAAATACGTGCCACGCCGCGGGGACCGGGGCGACGGGGCGGGGCAGGGACGAAGTCGGCGGCGAAGGCGGCGAGAAAGAGGACGGCGTCGGCCGGATCTCGAGGACCGTCCAATGAGGGAGGGCCCCGCCCCCGGTCGGGATTGGCGGCAGGTTCCGTCGCGACAGAGAGGGCGGAGACGCCTCGAGCCTCGCGGCGCGCGATGCGGCGGGAATCGAGAGGGACGAGCCGCTTGGCTCACAGTCTCGGACAGGCGACCGCCGAGAATGCCGGGGCTCGGGGGAGGATCTCGAGAGGCGTAACGAACCGAGGCGAGTGCGCTCGAAGAGGAAGTGCCCGTCGTCGCGAGGGACACGGCGAGGATGGTAAGTCGACGTCGGGAACGACTTCCCCCGCGAAGACGTCGCTCGAGTCGTTAACGGAAAAGCCGGTGACGCGCCGGAAACGGAGCGCCACGGGGGACGGGAGGAGAACCCGGGGGGACTTGGAACGTCGGCACCGCGGGGTGCCAAACTCCGCTATCGTCTTTAATAGAGTCATCGGGCCGCGACTCGAGTGGCGTAATAAGAGGGGCGGCCGGGGTGCGGGCCCGCCCGCCGAGGAAGAATCCGGGTGCCGCCGAACCGGTAACCGGGTTTGCCGCGAGATTGCCCCGCGAGGAGGAAACATTCCAATCGTTCGCCGGATGTCCTCGTCCCCGCTCCCTTTCCGTCCCGGGCCGAGGGTGCTCAAGGCGGGCGTCTTCGATTCCAGGCCGACGGCGAGTTCAACAGGTTGACCGAGCCGGTGGTGCAGGCCAGCCATCCGTCGGGGGGATTCCGTCCGGCGAGTTACGTGGTCCCGCATCCGTCGCCACTGCCGCCGCCGCCCCCGTCCCCGCCCCCGCCACTCCCGCCGTCTCCACCACCTCCGCCGTCTCCGCCGCCTCCGCCGCCTCCGCCGCCTCCGTCGTCTCCGCCGCCTCCGCCGCCTACGCCGCCTCCGTCGTCTCCGCCGCCGCCGCCGCCGCCGTCTGCACCCGGGACCGCCAAGGGTCGTCTCGGTGAGTACCGCGACGCGACGCATCGTCCTCGGCGGATGCGTCCCTCGGAGAGAGGAGGCGGAGAGAAGAAGAGAAAAAGGGAGAGGAGGACCTCCCCTCGGCGCGGTCTCCGCGGGAGCTGTCATCGGCAGACCTCCGAGTCGATATCTTTGTATGTACGCGTTGCCGCGACGCTCGCGATATTATTTTCGGAGAGCCGACTCGGCTCGGCGGGAGGGCCGCGGTCGCGAGCCTTGACCCAGAGAACGAGTCGAGCGGGCCGGGGTCGAAACTCAATAACGAAGAAATTATCGACGCAAAGACTCCCCCAGCTAGGGCTCGGAGCTACCCCAAGACTTCCCGAGTGATTGACACTTTATATCTAGCATTGGCATGCCACCGCCGCGAGACGCCGCGGTGCCGACTCCCTCCGCCTAACCCAATCACTGCCCATAATGCCGCAATTTCTCGATCGTAATCGGGTTACGCTCCGCCTCTCCGCGAGAAAAAGATATTGGAATCTCTCGCGAACTTTGCGAGACTCGCGCGTCCGTCGAGCGTTCCCGCTTCTATTTCGATTCCCATTTCCGCTCACGGGCCTCCGGCTTTTCCTCTTTTCCTCTTTTCCTCTTTCCCACTTTCCCGTTTTCTCGATTTCTCGGAGAAGACGAGCGGGAGGAGCGATCGCCGGCCAAAGGGACCGAAAGGGCCGAATAAGTCTAGTCGGCCGCAGGAAGAGGCGGCTCGATCGCAGGGAGAAAAACGAACTTATCGATAAGTAGCCATCCCGTGGCGAATCGCGGAGGGAGAGGGCGACGGTCCCGTCCGACGGGTCCCCGACGCGTCCCCGACGCGGACACTCAGCCTCCCGCTGTCTGCTTTCAGGGACCCGGCTCTACTCTCCGCAGGATTATCGACAGGAGCCGCCGTGGCTTCGAGACGGTGAGTCGTGCTCTCCTTTCGAGAATTTTCGCGCGATCCTTTAATCGGGACTGGGAGAGAGAAGGCGCGAAGAGGTCTGGTCGCGTCGCGTCGCGTCGCGTCGCGTCGCGTGGCCATTAGCTCGATTAGCCGAGCGGCGGGGTTCGCTCCTCCATTGTCCGGTCAATTTTGCCAAGTTTTCCGTCTCTTTTGACGCGGCCGGCACGTCGGCGACGTCGCGAGTCATCGTCGGCCGAGGTCCATTGTCCCGCGAGGGAGGAGCGACCTTTGGCCCCTTGACTCGGCTCGCGGTAGAGCCGATCGGAAGGGCCGTGCGCACGCCAGAGAGAGAGAGAGAGAGAGAGAAAGAGCGAGCGGAAGCTTTCGGGGCGCCCGAGGCGCGCGATCGATTGCCCAAGGGGACTAACAGTCGGGGCATTAATTTTAATTATTCCTGCCGACAGTCGACATAATATACCATCCCTGGGGGTCCCGTCCCGCGATCGTTCCGCACCTCGTTGGCGCTCCCCTGGCCGACCGACCGCGGCCGGTTGCGCGCACTAAGTCCGTCTCTGGTTTTCAGGAAGCAGTTGTGAGACCGACGACGGCGAGCAGTACGTGCCGGAGTATCACGACATGTCCGGTGAGCGGCGAATCCGCAGCCGAGGGGGCGACACCTTCCGGGAGACCTCGACGCGTCCTCGGATGGTCGGCCGTGAGAACCGCGTCGAGGGCTCAGGACGGAACCGGGGGCGAAACCGGGGGCAGGCGGGATCGATGCGCGGCGCTTTATTAAAGTCGAAGCGCCCTTGGGTGATTTTTACGAACGAGCGCCAAAGCAAACGCGACGTATTCCTGGGTCGCCGTCGATAGCGGATTACGCGAGTAAGCACTCGGCATCGCCGGTCGCACCGCGCCTCCCCTGGTCCGAGGCGCGGAAGAACGTCGACCGGGGGAACCGGGCAAACGGCCGCGGGCGGCCACGCGGCCGCAGCGCACGTGGCGGGTCGCGAGAGCATCGAGTAACGCGGCTGCCTCGGTTCGCAGACGGAGGGGTCAAGCGGGAGTCGACGACCGGCGGAAGGACCCGGTACCCGGTGCTCCCCGTCGACGAGGACTCGCGAGTCGGCGGCTTCCTCGACCCGAACCCGACCCGGCCGGTCGCCTGCTTCGGGTGAGTGCTCGCCTCCTTGCTTGCTTGCTTTCTTGTTTGCTTACTTTCTTGCTTGCTTGCTTGCTTCCTTCCTTCCTTCCTTCCTTCCTTCCTTCCTTCCTTCCTTCCTTCCTTCCTTCCTCTTTTCCTTCCTTCCTTCCTTCCTTCCTTCCTTCCTTTCGACCGTTCTCCCTCTCTCCCTTCCGGCAGGCCGCGCTCGTCTGACGAGGCCGCGCTTTGCAGGGCCGGCGGCCACGGCTACGAGGACGCGGAGAGCTCGAAGCGCGTCGCCGTGAAGGAGGAGCCGGCGGATCGTGAGTACCTGGAGCACGCCCGGGACGATCGGCCCGGTAAGTCGCCTCGGAAAGCATTCGGAACCTCGGCGGCGGTGGAGGGTAGAAAAAAAACCCATGAAAATGGGGCGCTGGCTTCGTCGACTCGATAATACACGGGGCACCGAGTGACGAGTGGGGGTGGTTTCCACCGCGGAAAGTCCGCTACCCTTCCGTATCCCTCCGCCGGCCCCGAAGCGGCCGCGGCTTCGCGATTTGTTCCGTTGCATCTTTAATAACTTTTGGCGATGCGCCGTCCACGCCCGACCCTTCTTCTCCTCTCCGCTTGGTGCCCGCGGATTCGCGGAGGCCCGTTCTCCCCTTTCTCCCTTCGTCCGCGTCCGACGGAACGTTTTCTTCGCGGTGATCTCGGGATCGCGGGTGGCGAAGGGTCTCGACTTGCCTGGCAACGTATTGTCTACAGGAAGTCATATCGCGTCCATATTGACTTCCGGCGGCGGCAAACAACGGGCCTGGGGCCGCCCTCGGGCCGCCCGACGCGAGATAATTCCGCGATGCGCGCGCGAATCGGTAGGTGGACGCGGAGCGATCGATGCCTCGATAAACGGATGCGAGTCGACGCGGGGGTAACGGAGGAAAGCGCGCGTTAAATCCAGCTTCTTGGTTGAAACCGACAGCCAAGCGGGCGAGCGAGCAGACCCGGAGCCGTTCCGCGGCCGATCCGCGGCCGTCCCGGGGACGGCTCTCCGTTTCGGACCATCGGCCGACTGCCCCGTAGCCGCGCCGGCTGGAAAGCGAATCGCTCGGGCGTAGCTAGGTGTTCCTAATTGAATAATTCAGGAATGCTTTCAACTCGAGCCGTCTAGAATGCATCAGCAAAAGCTCAGCCGGAGTAGCAGACGAGAATGCTCGACTTTTCCCAGGGGAGAGCGGGATCCGAGCGGGATCCGAGCGGGATTCGAGCGCGAGCTGCGCCCCGGAAGCGGGCAAGGCAGCGTCCCCGCGTTGGTTTCGCGTTTCGAGGGGCGATCCGATGGAGTCGGACGGGGAAGTATCGAGGATTCCATCGAACGCGTTTCGATCTCGATCCGCGTAGCCGACCCTTTCGGAGTCGAACAAAGTCTCGAGTCGTTTTTCATCGAGTTTTCGGAGATAGCTTCTCCGATCGCTCGTTGCGACGGCCGAGCAGCGACGCGAGTTAGAAACGATCCGGAATCGAAGCCTTTCTCGTTCCCCGACGTTAAAGCCTCTTGAATGATTGACGAGCCGTTTACGGTTACGACGGGGCAAATTTCCTCGATAAACGCAACTCGAGGAGTTCTTCCTTTAAGCAGAGAAGATGTGGGGTTAACTCCAACTTTGGGATCCCCCGATCGTTGGAGCGTTCGTTAGCCACTTTCGGCGCGCATTCCTCTCGTTCCCGATCGCCCCTCGTCGCCGGTTGCGCCCGAGTCGTCCAGGAATCGACGCGATAATCGAAATCGGTTCGACGGGATTTTCCAACTAATTGGAGTCACTGTTTGCACCGGCTCGACGTATAATAAAGTAGCCGGAAGAAGTTACACTTGCACCGGGCAAACACGGTTTTAATTCGGTTACGCGTAACACGAACTTCGATAAACGTCGGAGGCAACGATAGTACCGCGCGTCGAATAACAATTCTCGGCTCGGTAATGAATACTGATTGGTCGTCGCTGCGCTAATTAACCCGCGCGGCATTACAGGCCGTGATCCGCTCCGAGTCGGCTTTTTTGGACCCCCGCGGCCCCAGCGGCTCGCTCCTTGAATTCTCCCTTCCGGAGAGCGCGGCCGCCGCGGATGCCGTCGACGGGACGCGCGGAGCGCGACTCTCCGCTCGCGGGGAGGGCGGTTTCAGCGGCTCGCAATTAATTTTAATCCAGGAGTCGGGGGCCGTGCGAGCGAGAAGCCGTCGCCCCTCTGCAGCGGATCGCCCGAGTTCGACGGGTTCCCTCGGGGCATCGCTCATCGAGGCGAATCCGTTAGGACGTCGCGGTGATCCAGCGATTACCGCCAGGGTATTCGTCCGTTGGCTCTGACGTCTCTCGTCGGGGTAGGCGGAAGCGGGCGGCAAGGGCGGGACCGACTTTTCAATATTCCCGTACACGAGCCGGAGCGTAACCGGATTATGGTTCGAGAATGGCTTTTTCGATTCCGTTCGGAGGCCCCGAGGCTCCGTCGCGGAATGTTAGATTAATATACATACCGCCTCGCGGAGACGACGGCGGCGGGCCAAATATCGACCAATTTTCTCTCGAGGTTCGCCTCGGTCTGGTTCGGTCGAGAAGGCGCACGCGCGATCCGGTCAAACCGAGCAAGGACTCGAGCCGGCCGTCTCCTGTCCGCAGGCCCGTACCCCCGGCGGTCGCGACCGCGTCTCGCCGACGGAGAAGCGGCCGAGGAGGAGGCGAAGGTCCCGTCGCGGGTGCGGTGGCAGTCCGTGCCCCTCGAAGAGGAGGACGAGGAGGAGGAGGAGGAGGAAGAGGACGAGGAGGAGGAGGAGGCGTACGCTGGCGCCCGGCAGGAGGTCTGGGCCGCGGATGCCTACGCGAGGCGGAGCACGCCGCCTGCGTGGGCCGTGCCGCCCGCGCCTCCCGCGCCTCCCGCGCCTCCCGCGCCTCCCGCGCCTGCGACCGCCGCCTGGGACCGGCCCGAGTCCTGCTACCAGAAGCGCGGCGTCGTCGCCTCGCACTTGCCATGGTCTGGCGACTTCGGCAAGAGGCCGCCCTCAGCGGGCGGCTCCTCTTGGGGTAACGTCGCCGTCGGGTTCCAGCCACAACCACAGCATCAGCACCAGCACCAGCACCAGCATCAGCACCAGCACCAGCACCAGCACCAGCACCAGCACCAGCACCAGCACCAGCACCAGCACCAGCACCAGCACCAGCAGCAGCAGCAGCAGCAGCAGCAGCAGCAGCAGCAGCAGCAGCAACAGCGCCGGGGCTCCCTGCAGCTGTGGCAGTTCCTGGTTGCGCTCCTCGACGATCCCGCCAATTCGCCTTGCATCGCCTGGACGGGGAGGGGCATGGAGTTTAAACTGATCGAACCCGAGGAGGTTCGTCGACGCTTAATTTTTCTGCCTTTTTCCGCCTCCGACATAACCGTCTAGTCGCGCTCTCTTTCCTTCTTGTACGTCGACCGAATTGCAGGTCGCGCGCAGGTGGGGCATTCAGAAGAACAGGCCGGCAATGAACTACGACAAGCTCAGTCGGTCGCTACGATACTACTACGAGAAGGGGATAATGCAAAAGGTGGCAGGCGAGAGGTACGTCTACAAGTTCGTTTGCGACCCGGAAGCTCTCTTCAACATGGCCTACGGCTCCGGAGCGCCAGGAGGTCCAGTCGACGGCCAGAACTCGGGGCTGACCCGGGGACTCGGCGTTCCCGCCAAGATGTCCGCCGCGGTTGGCGCAGACGTCATCGACGCGGGAAAGCAAGCTCCTTCGGGTTACGGGGACACCGTTCTAGCTATGTATTCGAACGCTACGGCAGCAGGTGAGGATACGCGTGTCTAGTCGGTTCGATCCGATCCGGTCCTACCGGACGAACCGAATTCCTCATGAAATTAAGACGTTGGAACTCGGTCAGTATCTCCAAGTTATTCACTTTGGATCATGGCCGTGGAGACGACTAACGGGACGATTCGATCGTTTAGTGTACGGACCGCCCGGTTTGCATCATCTGCACCAGTATCTGGGTACCAACGAGGGGTTCAAGGCTTCTTCGTCGAACAGGTACCACTCTCACCTCGGCTCCCATCGGTACGGCAGTTCCGACAATCAGCACCGCTACCACCACCACCACCACCACCATCATCATCACCACGCGCCGACCTACCCCGACACCCTCTTCAACTACGGTAGAATCTCGGCACTCGAATACGAGCTGTCGTTCGACCAAAGGACGACTTATCCGGCCGGCTCGGAGATCTCGGGACCGGGAACTCGCGAGCTCTCCGAGAGAAGTCTTCGGGACTTCGGAGGCTCCTTCGAGTTGGATCGTGCCCTACCACCGGCCGACGGTGCCGTCGGCGAATCCGTCGGCGAATCCGTCGGCGGATCCGTCCTCGCGCAATCGTCCATCGAAAACGACTCGGCCTCGTCGATTAAATTGGATCAATCTCCTTATCCCTGTCTGGAAGTTGGGAGTTGCGTCTGTTGAATCTTGTCCAGGGTGAGAGTCCTTGCGGGAGCTCCCTAGGGCTCCCTGGGTATCGGGATTAGACGGGGCCCGCGCGAACTCGTCTCCGGTCGAAGAAACGGACGCGAATTCGAGTCGATCGTCGCGATCCGGTTGCTGCAAGTGGTCGACCCTGTCTGACCCGATCTGACCCGATGCCGGTGCAATTTTCGATCGCGATCTTTTCTCGGCCTTCATTGTGAGGTCACTTTCCTCCCGCTCGGAAGGACATATTTATGTACTTTCAGGACGTATCGTTATCATGACAGCACGGAATGATCTCAATATCTGTTATTTTAAGATTTGCTCATATATCCAATCACTAAGAGAGATCGAATCGTCACCTAGTAGGCGGAAGAAAAATTCTGTTCCGTTGGAGTTGTTTCTTACTGTCGATCGTGTTATTTAAATTGTATATACCATTTAACTTCCATATCGATGTACTTATAGGAGAGTTTAGATGTAACATGTATATATTAAACGTATACTATTTGTTCGATGCGTATAATATGGTATTTGTATTTAGTGAGTTCCTTTGTGAAATCAACAATAGCGGTATTAATTGACGCAGCACATACTCTTTGTACGTACGTGCGAATATTTATGAGAGTTGCCCGTCCGAGGGCGATCCAGTTTGCTACGCTTCTTAAGGGTAAGTATTCGTGCGTCAGGGTACAAATATTCGGTCTATTAACGTGTCATGAAAGTGTCATGTATACAAATCAAAAAGTAAAAGTATTTATAAAACTATTTTCCAAACTGACGTTTGAACATCGCTTGGGAGGACGAAGCGCCATCTCTTATGTAAATAATTGCTCGATGTTTTCGTCCAGGAGTGCGATAAACTCTACCGGCACTCCTGGGTCGCACCCACAAATACCTATACGGATAGATTTGGTACTGGTAGGGGGCGTTCGCACTCGACGCGATGGATAGGGGATTGGATTCCACGGCGAAACTTCCTTTACCGTTTTTTTCTACGACCCGTGGTTCCGGAGATACAGCGGAAATAAAAATGCTGCGCTCTGATTGGTCGCTTCTTCGGAGGGCCGTAACTCGGAAACTACGCGGCGTAGGAGAAAACGGAAAAGGAAGTTTCGCGTCCAAACGACGTCCGCCGTCGATCCCCCCGGGTCCCAATTTTCGGTACCTGAACGGACAGGGTCGGTTCAGGTAGGGGGCGTTCACGACCGGCGCGATGGATAGGGGACCGGATTCCGCGACGAAACTTTCTTTACCATTTTTCTTTACGACCCGTGGTTCCGGAGATACAGCGAAAATAAAAATTCTGCGCTCTGATTGGTCGGTTCTTTGGAGTGGCGTAACTCGGAAACTACGTGGCGTAGCCGAAAACGGAAAAGGAAGTTTCGCTTCCAAATGATGTCNGGTGGCGTCCGGGAATCGGGACGCCAATGGCGATCCTCGGAAGAGGAGAAAAAGGAAGGAAATGGAAAACGGGCCGACGAAAACCGCGGAGAAATGGGTCGCGAGGAGAGTTTAGGGGTGCCGGAGGGGGCGGCCATTCCGTCGCGGAATTCTTTACCAGCGGATATCGTAATGGAGGCGGTATCACTCCCCGAAGAAAGGAGGAGAGACCTCAAAGAGGAATTTATCTCCCGGACAATTTCCCCCGAAGGGTTGAATTCTCACCCCGAAAACATGGAAATGAAATATAAGGCGAGGGTCTTACGTCGAAACGAGTTAAGGGCTTGCAATGGGGAGTTGGGTTTTCTTTTTTTTTTTTTTTTTTGTTTTTTTTTTTTTTTTTTCAAGGTCATGTCAGGTCACATTGTTTTTTTCCATTTTTTTTCATTTTTTTTTTTTCATTTTTTTCCCAAGGTCAGGTCAGGTCAAATCAGGTCAGGTCAGGTCAGGTGAGGTACTTGTTTTTTTTTTCCTTTTTTTTTTTTCCCTGAAGGTCAGGTCAGGTCAGTATGTTTTTTTTTTTTTTTCCTGAAGGTCACGTGAGGTCAGATGAGGTCAGGCCAGGTGAGGTCAGGCCAGGTGAGGTCAGGT